CGATGCCATGCTCAGTGCCCAGTCAACTCTAAGAGAATTAAAGCGTGAAGTATTACACGGGCAGACTGGGAGGCCTGCACCACCGAGGCCAGCCGTCACAACAGTACAGCGATTGCATCAGAAATAGCTGCTGATACATCTTGGATGAAGCTGTGGGACATGGCACTTGATTACGGACCTCGTGGTACTGACTCTCTACAAGCCGCTTTATCGCGAATTGACCAGGCCACAGTTTCAGCCAGGCATCTGCCATCTCTGTGGTGCCACAAGGATGTTCTTACTTTCATCACTATACTCTCTCTCACACGCCTCTCTCAGACCCAGACAGATTATCAACTCTCTTTCGTCCGCTACTTCTGATATTTTCATGTATGCTAGACATTACAAGTAACTTTATTTTTTTGTAAAACATGCCGTGCCTATTCTTGTTTGGCTTGCAGTGCATTAAAACCTTTGAACCTTTGTACGGTAGTTGGGTTTGTCTGTCTGTCTGTGTGTGTGTGTGTGTGTGTCTGTCTGTTACTCGTCATCTCACTTCTCGAGTGTTCGTTCGTCTCACAAAGGATACCACCTACTGAACGGGCAATGAAGGTCAGAAAATATGTGGGGTTTTCTCTGAAACTGCTCTGTTGCAGAGCTAGAGCGCGAAAAAGCTAATATGCAAATAGGCAACGGACGGGACGGCTTACCACGGTCTGATTGATCCGCGTGCTCTGCGTACCTCAGAGGCACCAGAAGATGCAACGCAGGGCGTGTATCGCCTCTCGCATGCTATCTAGTAGTGTAGTTAGCCCGCGTCAGACTCTGCGCGAGCTGGGAAGAGACCACGAGTAACAGCTAAAACTAAACCCAGCCCATCAATTAGTGGTACGGCGCATGCGTTTACTTACGCGTGAGCGGCACAATGCGCCGAGGGTTTGCACTTCAGTGCTTTTCATTTACAAAGCAGCTGGAAAAAATTAACGGCATTTTGACACGTCTGTGCAGTTTTCAATTTTCTGTCTCTGTCTCAGTGATACTGGGTAGTCCCTCGCTCCCTCCGCCTCCTCCTCCGGCCATAGCTAGCAGAGCGGTGGAGTGAAGACAACTGTTGGAAAACTCCAGGGATGATTCTTCAATCCTCGGCGGGCAGCGGGAGTTCCTTCTGCAGGGGAATCAGTCGTCCCTTGGCGTCTGTCGTCACGTAGTAACGATACTTGTTGTGTTTCCCTGTGAAGTAGATGGCGATGTTGTTGGGGGTTGAGGCGGAGTGGCGATGGCCCGCCTCGTATATATTTGATGTTGACGACGGGGTTGAAGGAGGCGTCGGGGAAAATGGTTCCCTCGTCGATGATCTTGGAGACACCCGACTACAGTGATTGCTGTCTCCCGTGGCAACGCCGCCGCAATAAAACGGCTCCGGCTCTCTCTCACCGAGTCACTGTCACTCCGACCACTGAAGTATTACTATCGTCGGACCCCCAGAATCTGTGGTTGGGGGCCGGACCCTCAAATCAGGGGGTCGTGAATCCAATTTTTTACACCCCACGGAACCCCTCATCTCCTCAAGGTCGCCGGACAGAAATTGGACGAAAATTGCACTACAATTTGAGACATTCCTAAAACTCAATTATCTATAATTCTGTTTTACAATGTCTGTCATTTATTTCTGTTGACAATTTTTCGGTGTGGGGGTGGGGCTCGCTCGTGCACTTTGCCCTTGGCCCACGTGGCTTTTTGGCAGAGGTCGGAAGAAGAAATGGCTGAAAGCGCGTCAGTCGCGGGAGCTAGCGAATCTACGACGAAGGCAGGCGGGGGGGTGGAGGGAGGAAGGACGCCCGCCGCTACTCCAGCGGGCGGCGGCAGCGGCAAAAAGAAGAAATCAGGGAAGGAGAAGAGGCTCCGCAATGAACCTCGGAGCGTGTCTGGTAAGGTCCGAGGAACTGTCTTTTGTCCTTGCAGCTCCTCAGACCGCATGCACGTTTCTTGAATACTTTTGTTCTGTTACAATTCAGTGGTTCTCTCTTTTATTAAGTCCCTGTACTGAAACTTCATCTCTCTCTCTCTCGCTCTCTCTCTCTCTCTCCTTTCCCAATCCTCTCTCTCTCCTTTCCCTATCCCCTCTCTCCTTTCCCAATCCTCTCTCCAACCTTTCAACAGGTGAGCTAACTCCGCTAGCCATAAATGTGATGGACTTTGCAGAGGCGAGAGCCACCGAGCTGAAGGCCATGACACAGGTCCTCTCCAAGAAGCCGGGAGACGGAGGGAAGAGGGTGTTCCAGCAGCTGCCGCGTCACATGAAACGGCGGGCCATGAGTCACAACATCAGGCGGTTGCCTCGGAGACTGCAGGAAAAGGCTGCAAAGGAGGTATGTCACTAATTTGCAAAAACTTCGAAAAGGATACCTCTCCTTATTAGAGGTGTGTCCTTATTTCAGGGTTGTCTTTGAAGAGATGTTTAACTGTTATATGTGACTTTATTTATTATTATCGGAGTTTATTTCCACTGTCGGCTCTTTCACTGTGTGTTGGATTAGATGGAAAAGCAGGCAGCGGACAAAGAAGGGAAGAAGAAGAAGTCCCGAAAACAGCGGAGGAAGATTCGTAATCTTCGGGAAGAGAAGAGTGGGAGGGGCCAGGATCGAGACTCCGGCCACCCACAGCGGCCCGTCTGGCTCGAGACACACGTCTGGCACGCCAAGAGGATGAAGATGATCGATCACCATGATTACTGCATGGCTGAGAGCGTCAACGACAAAGGTGTGCGGCAAGCCTACCGCTCCTTGCGATACGGCTGTCTCCTATCAGTAAGTGGTGATTCAGGTATTGGAAATAAAAAATCAATCTCTGGAATGAAGGGGAGGGGTTAAAGTACAAAGTCATCAAAGCTGGGAACAGTATGTACCTGTTGAGAAATGGGATTTTGCGTAAATAAAAAGTGTGGAATATAGGGATGCCATAAAATGCAAGGAGGCAAGACAGGGACGACCTAGTGAACATGATGCAGTAGTACAATGGATGATGGCTACATACTTTGAACTGACATGGCTTGCTACTCTGCAGGATGTTTCGTATCAGTGTTGTATTGAAGTGGCTGGCAGTAGATGTGACGTTCTCTCTTGTTTGACACCATTCTTCAGCGGGGATACTGGTAAATGATTTTGTTCTTTCAAACAACGAAATAATAAAAACGACTCATTTTTCCCCTCCCTATATACAGGGTTGACACCAGCTGCAGTATCGTACGAGAACGGAAGCAGGGCCGGCCACTGTGTCATGTACCGCTCTGGTACCTACCCCTCAGGTGCCATTGGCCCCGTCGAGTTCCTATGGCAACCGGTAAACAATGACGTCGACACGGCGAGGCTGTGGTTGACTGTACCTCCGGCCATTCACGATGAAGTAATGGATGAACTGACTGCTGCCGTGGAGAAGGGATTTCGTACCGGTTGTCACGGGGATTATCAACTCGAAACTGACAATTCTGGTGTAAGTGGCGATGAACGGCGGAGGTCAAAGGTGACCGTAACGAGTCTGAGAGACGAGTTTGTCAGGTTTCGTCTCGTCGGCCCGCGATCCCACGCCGTTCTCATGGAAACGCTCAAACCAATCACCGAGGGAAACGACACAACAACCTTTGTTCGATCAGACGCGCAAACAATTACCAATGAAACGGTCGAAACCTCCGAGACATCAGACGCAGGAACACTTTCGTTTTCAAAACCTGACTTATCACGGATTCCGTCCCCTGTTCCGTGGTGGAGAGATGAAGATGAAGCGTTGGCTACACACAATAAACGTCTACAAAGAACACTTGAAGATTTGCGGAGTGCAACCGAACCGGGGGAATTTCCGAAAGGAACGGTCGTAGGAATGGTGGTACAAGATCCGCGGTTGTTCACTCCGAGCAAGAAGACAGATATGGTGTCTGAGTTTTACCCAAGGAGGAAGGTTGATTGGTGGAGCGAGGAGGGAGGGAGAGGAGGAGGGAGGGACAGGGGAGGGGGAGAGTGTGGTAACGGCGGCGAGGGAGAAGAGAAGGAGGGAACGGGAGAGGAGGAAGAGTTGAACAAGAAGGCCGAGGTAGCTGAAGAAATGGAGGTGTTGGAAGAAGAAGATGAAGGGATCGAAATAAGAGTTGAAGAAAATGCGCCAGAAGAAAGGGAAGAAGGAGAAGACGAAATTGAACAAAAAAACAATCATTTCAGGATGACCCTCCAAATGAAAGTGACGATACTCTCATTTTAGCCGAACGCAGCATCAAGCAACCAAAATTGGAGGTCGCGACTTCGCCAGATGCGTCACTCCCCAATCTGTCCTATTCCCCACTGTGGTGCCCTAGAGTTAGAGAGATTGTCAGCAAATCAAAGATCCCCGAACATATTTTGAACGAAGTTCGCTCAAACGTTCTCGTGCACACAACTCGGCTGTGTCTCGGAGACAAGTCGCCACGGATACCGGTTATGCTCGTGAGGCAGGATTACTCGTCCGCACACGTTCACGGTGTGCTCCAATTAGGAGGAGAGGGGTTTTCCCCGCGTGGTTACAAGAACGGGGTTCGGAAATCGGTCGTGACGTCGAGCGTTGCTGGATGGGACTTGGTCCTTCCCCGAGAGTGGGGTATGGGGTTTTGGGTGTCCCTGGTCTATCGTGGAGCGCGGGCATGTGGGAGAACGGAACTACGGAAGTGTCACCTCGAAACCGGAGTTCCTTTTTTCCCCGGGGATTACCCCGACACTGGCACTGGGAGGAAGGAGGCGGAGAAGAGGGAGAGAGAGGCGGAGGTGAAGTACCGTCGCCATCCGCCCGACAAACGAAGAAACTTTGGGAAGTTATCGATTCAACATCCGTTCCGCAGTCCCTGGGACGAGCTTGTGGACGAGTGGAAGAAGAAGATTGGTTGTGTATTGTCTGGGGCAGAGGCGTCAAGTGAGGTGTCTGACAGTGAGAGGTGTGTGGTAGAGCACTCTGTGAGTGGGGAGGGAGAGAAGGTGGGAGGGGGAGAGGAGGGGGAAACAATAGTTGCCACACTTGGAAAGAAATGGAGGGTGAGGGAGAGGGAGGAAAGGGTGAGAATGGGGAAAGTGAAGAAGAGGGAGTGGCTTCAGAACCTCCCGCAAAACGACCTCGAGTTGCTAATGGTGACTGCAGCGACATTATCGTCAAGCCTCTGATACCATTTCCCGACGGCAGCCATTTTTACGTTCTTCGCTCGAAATCAGCTCTCCTTTCCCTCTCGTCTTTCTTCCATTGCCTCTCTTCAGCTAGACCGGCGTCTCATTCCGGTACCGCATCGAACCTCTCGCAAGCTGCAAACTCCATAACCCCATCATTTGATTCCCTTGTGAAAGATTTTGAAATAGACAAACTTTTGGAAGAGCACCGTAATGCTCTGATCGGCGTAACTTTTCGAAATGCTTCACCGTGGAAACGCAACAAGCAATGACACCATCTCCGTGCCCACCCTCTCCGACCTGCAAAATTTGACTGACTCTGGGGAAAATTTCAACGGGCCAGAAGAGAGACTGAGTTCGAGAGGGTTAACGGTTGTCGAGGGCGACGTGGTATGTGTGGGCGTGTCGGGACTTTCTCGTAGCAAAATGGCGGAGGTGAGGAAAAAGAGAAGTGAGAAGAAGAAGAAGAAGAAAGAGAGATGGGCCCTGGATGATGAGGAGATCAGGGCAGAGAGAAACAGAGAAGAAGGTATATGTATAGGTTATACGATGGCGGCGCGTGGTCTACTGGTACGCCCGAGTGGTCTATCAAAACTGAAGCCACGAGTGTGCAATCAGTAGACCACAAGCCAATGCCATCGTATAACGTGTTTGTATGATGACATCCGGCGGTAAGGCTCTGACCAATGAGATCGCACAAAAGCTTTCAAAACGCCCTCTTTTTAACGCACACCATCGAGTGTACGGCCCGGAGGACGGGGAGAGAGCTAGCTAGCAATCGATCGGGAGAGAGACAGCTGCAATAAGCGCTTTAGTTTAGTCAAGCTGGGCGGCTGTGCAGAAGCCATGGTCATTTCTCGAGAGTTCAACGTTACAGGTACGCTATACTTTTCGCTGCTAGACTCCACACGAGTTTTGTAGCTGCCGCTCTTGCTCGCTTTCTCTCCCGCTATACCCAGCACTCTCGAATGCAGCCTGTTGCAGTAGCACGAAAGATGAAAGTCACCGAATACTGTTCCAGTCCACGGGAGCCTACGCGTCGGGAAGCAGCTTTCGCTAGTTTTCAGACCGCGTATATACTATACTAGAGCAGTTTCTGGCCATTCTAGCCTGAAAACACTCCCTTCTGGTAAAGAAACAGCAGCACACAAAGAGTGTAAAAGCCCCCAATTGCATTCCACGCTGCCAATTTCCTACTATCGTCTAACTCCTGTAGACCCACTGTGGTTTATGCAAATAAGTTGACATACAGCTAAAGTATAGGGAAATTGTATGGCCTCTCTATGTTCTAACTACCCGTAGACAGAGCAGGAAGCGCTCACTACGCATCTATATACGTTGTTTGGACTAGCTGGAATTCCTTTGATCTTACTCTCAGTCATCATACAAATACATGAAGATAATGCTAGGACAGTAGCTGAAGGATTATACCTGCAACTCGTCTCCACTGAATGTCAATAGTTTTCTACTGTATGTATGTGTACCAGCTTCTACAGAATATACATAATATTATATAAAATTACTAACCATTACCATTATGTATTGTAAAATAGTTCTCCATTATTCCTTATGCTTCGAGCCTATAAGTAGGAAAATGGTCGTCTAATAACACTCGTTGCTTTACTCTCTCTCTCTCTCTCCTTCTCTGATCCCTTATCTCTTCAGTAACCAGTTCCATCGTCCAAGACTATGCCCTCACTTCCACTACTCAATCTCGTCTGATCATTGGTTACACCACGTCATGTGGTCATCGACTCACCAGCTCCAAAGACGGAGGAATCGGGTTCTGCTCTCTGCGGGGGCTGATGGAGGCTGCTCGTACCTACCATGATTTCAGAGTTGGGGGAGAAGGGAGGAGAGAGGAGAGAGAGAAAGGAGAAGGAAGAAGGAAGGAAGGAGAGACGGGAAGAGGGGGCAGAGGGGTGGAGGGGGAGGAGTATTTTGTTGTTGGTTCGCAGTGAGTGGCTCCACCATCGATTCGCGCAGTTTGATCTTCTTCACCGCTGCAACTGAAACTGTATCATTTCACTGTAGTAGGTATGTGTATAATATTGTCCAATGTTTAACTGTACTATTATTCTGCATTGCATCTCAATGTTTATGCATGCTCCAGAATGTGCAGTTATTCCCGATGCAATATGTGTGAACGTTTGCATCGCGTGCATCTCGCGATGACCGCGTGTGCCCCTGAACCGCGTTCTACCAGGGTCCTTGACTTTTGATCTCGCCACACGTGGGTAGTGTGTCGGTGAATGGAAGCCATCGAGAAACGATATCCAATGGGCGATGCGATGACTCATCCTGAGCCTACTTTAAACCCAGGGCCCTTGACTTTGGTGTTCCCACCATACTACTGTTGTGGGTACGTCATCAAAAGAGTTTTAGTATACTGAGTCACTACAACTACAGTGAGTCACACAAGAACTGATTTCCTGTTCTCAGCTTCACCCACTGAGGATGTATAAAGACAAATTATCATCTTGAAATCTCAACAGAGAATCTTCAGCTGCCACCTTTGTGACAAACATCCGACATCCTGTCCTTAAAATCTTCCTGCAAACCTTACAGTGGAGGCGGTATAGAAAGGCTTTTCCAACCAGCTAGAGTATATAAGAAGGACGGCTTTAGGCAGCAACATAGCATAACCAAGGGATACAGCAATCCAGAGCAGCAACAAGAAGAGAGAGAAAGTCTGAAGATGAAGATGAATATTCTACTCATCGCAGTTGCTGCTATGGTCGCAGCTTCAATAGCAGCAACTGAAGAATACCAAGACACCGCTGCAGATGTTCTCTGCCAGCTGAACCAGGGAGACGTCCCCCTCTGCCCCGGCGCCTCCTGCAGGGAGATTTACGAAACCCGAGTCACCAGCAGCTTTCGCTCCGGAATCCACTGGCTGGCTGGCGAAGGAGCATCCGCGGGCCAGGCTAACTGCGTGGAAACCATCCCTCCCAGTGAGTCCACCATCTGGATGCAAGTCGCAAACGTCAACTCCAACACCACGGGCTGTCCGGCCGGCCTCGAAGAGATTGTCCGTGACGATCAGACGCTCTGCCGTAAGACGATCGACACCGGCTGCAGCTCCGCCGTCTTCCCGACTCACGGAGTAAGCTACTCCAAGGTGTGCGGGCGGGTTTACGGCTACATCAACGATACTCTGGATTCGTTTTCGAGAGGTTCCAAGAAAAACATCTGCGGACCAAACTGCACCATCGACGATCCGTATGTGGACGGAGTGAGCATCACGCACGGCAGCCCTCGACAGCACGTCTGGACCTTTGGCGGAGGAGGCGGGTGTCCGTGTAGTAATCGTCCATCCAGTACCGCCGTACCTCCGTATGTGGGGGAGGACTACTATTGCGACAACGCCCGCAGAAACACGTTTGTCGTTGAGGATCGTCTGTGGGACGGGGAAAATTGCAAAAGTGGTGTCGTGCTGTGCTGTGAAAGGGCAAACTGGTTCTGCAAGGAACTGCCTCAGCCCACGACCGACGACGTCGAAGTCAGACTCTGCGCGGATCAGAGGAGGGTCGATGAGGACATTTATGTCGACGTAATCGAGATATACGTCCAGTGAACTGCGGCCGACCGCACGATCTGTGCTTACAAACGATGTAGAAAGTATATACTATAGCTTTAGGCTATTTATACTTGTAGTGTATTAGATAAGTTTCATGAATTATGGGTGCAACGCAGCGTGCAAATAACTCCTCCTAGGACGGCACTTTGTCAAAATATATAAAAAGAGCTGCCCCGTAATAATTATAATAGTTGACTTATTCGAGAATTTACAAACATAATGGTTGACTGATTATGAGGCACACACTGAGAATGGTTCACAAAGTGGCTTCTCTGTATTATAATAATAATGGTTGACTTATTAAGATAATATTATTTTACTGAAAGGAGTTTAATTCAAACGGGAATGTTAATTGAAAGTAGCATACAGTACGGCTGATTGATGATAGACACACACACACTGAAATTTATTTACAAAGCAGCTGGAAAAAATTAACGGCATTTTGACACGTCTGTGCAGTTTTCAATTTTCTGTCTCTGTCTCAGTGATACTGGGTAGTCCCTCGCTCCCTCCGCCTCCTCCTCCGGCCATAGCTAGCAGAGCCGGTGGAGTGAAGAAACTGTTGGAAAACTCCAGGTGATTCTTCCAATCCTCGGCGGGCAGCGGGAGTTCCTTCTGCAGGGGAATCAGTCGTCCCTTGGCGTCTGTCGTCACGTAGTAACGATACTTGTTGTGTTTCCCTGTGAAGTAGATGGCGATGTTGTTGGGGGTTGAGGCGGAGTGGCGATGACCCGCCTCGTATTTGATGTTGACGACGGGGTTGAAGGAGGCGTCGGGGAAATTGGTTCCTTCGTCGGCGAGTTTTTCCAGGTTTGCTATCATCTCGTCCTGTCGGGTGTGTGGATCAGAGAGAAATTAGAAGAAACGACAGTGAGATAAGGTAAAGGCTAAAATTAGAAACCTAATTGTATTCTTGCTCTAAACCCCTATTGTTATGTTCTAAGTTTAGCCCTTGCGTACTGCCACATTCCAATGGTATATAACAAGAAAGGATGTAAAATGGTATGCAGTAGTCTACAATGAAGACATTACTCTAATTAATTAATTGTGGTCGCGGAGTGAGTGATAAACCTCTACTGTTTAGACAAGAGTCTTTGATGTATGCAAAATAGAGAGCTCCTGAGTTTAAGAGATGGAGTGGGGAAATGAATCACCTGTGTGATGGCATTAATGATCGGGGGGACCTGGTTCTCATCCAGGACCAAGAACACAGTGTCGTGGTGCAGGACGTACTCCGTCGGAGTCATCTTCGTGGAGTCGTTTTGTCGGTAGAGACTATACTTTGGCCCCGTGGGTGGAGTATAGACTGGGGTAACGTGGGGGTGGTCCACTTGAGCGTCCAGGACTCGTGCTGGCAGGTTGAAGTAGTAGTTCTGAAAAGAAGAAGGAGTGATTGCAATGGGGCAAAGGAAGAGTGATTGCAATGGGGCAAAGGAAGAAGGGAGAGATGTAGTGACAGTGTATAGCTAGCCCTCTCTAAGGACACCCCTGAAACGAGGACACCTCTCTCTTTCCCAATTAATAACAGCCTTGAAGTAAGAAAAGCTCACGAATACAGTCATAGAACACTTTCTCTGTCCCATTGAGAGAGGTTCCGCTGTATATTTGTGTATATAGTGTGCCGATTGCTATATAAACAGGAAGGAATGTTGCTATAATCATTTGACCCTCTAAGGGAAACAGATTATCAGTGCAATATTATGTATACTATAGGGAGAGCCAGTAGGTAGTGGGTAAAGATAGATGATCTAATGGGACAAAAGCTATACAGACAACACAGTGGAAAGATCAGAGAGAGAGAGGTAAGGAAAAAAGTGGAGGCAGAGGGGAAGGACAACAGGTGTGCCAGGTGAAGTCATTCTACTCAGGAGCTTTGCCAGCTCGATCCCCTCCATCAACTCGGTCTCGTCCTCCTTGTCCACCTCTACAGGCTGCTCCGAATTTGGACTGGTCTTAAAGAGAAACAGTTTCCCGTCGAGGAGGTTCAGAGTCCAAACTCCGCCCTTTTTCCCTGGGAACATCCGAGCTCCGCCGCTTTTGGGTGTTATGCCATCTCTGGAGACAAGACTTGACATGTGGAAGAACGGAGAGTCCACTGAGGCAGATCTATATAATAATATTATAGAGATGAAGAAAGAGGGAGAGATGGATGGATCATAAAGCATTAATCATTTTCGTTGACGGTAAGTATGAGCCAAGCCTATGTATGTGTGTCACTATTAAAAGGCGAGCACTATATAGAGTCAGGATTGCAATGGGGAGTGGGTGGAAAGGTTCGAGATCCTCGGGGTCTGTTTGCTAAAAACAGACCCAAAACACTTTCAGTTGCAAAGAGTTTGCTTTTTCAACACAGCACACCTAACAGCAACAGTGAAGACTAAAAACCGTCTCTTTACAAACACATGCCAGCTCTGCTCTGTCATGTGACGGTCACGTGACACAGCATGATTAAAGCCTAACTTTATGCCATAGAGGGAAGGAGGTTGAGAGGAAGGAGATCCTTCAAACGGTTCAAAAGAAGTCGGCCCGTTTTCCCCGCAAGTGTCCGGAATGCACTCATCCAGTCCGGAGTAAAATTCGTCCTGGTTTGCGATCCGTGTCAGCAGGCTCTGCAGCCTTGCCTTGGATGACATCTTGAAGACTCCGTTCTTGGGTGGGGGGAGGGGCAGGGAGGCTGCGGTCCTTCCCTGGAAGGCCTGGCGAGCCTTCAGGCTGTCCTCCAGGTCTCCTCCGTCTGCGGAGGTGATGATATCAACCGGTCTCTGTCTCCTCAGACTGTCTGTCCCTGGACACTCCACACCTGAGAGGTCATATTATAGTGAAGTAAATCATCTGAATAAGGGATACTTTGCCGTCGTATATCCCTATTCAGGGGTAGCTATATACAAAACTCGACAATGTTGTAAGTTTATAGCCTTATAGCTGAACACCAAAACTGTGTATGTGCACTTCTGATAACAGAGGCTTGTTGTTATTCACTGCACGCGGGGATGGTACAATGTATAATATAAACACACACAGACTCTCTCTTGACCTCCCTCTCCCTCTCTACTGGGGCTGGCGGCTGACCCACTGCTGCTCACACCACTGCTCCTCCGATGACACGACGACTCTTGTCCGTCACTGTCCTGAGAGCTGGTCCTACCTTCTGACCCTCCAAGACCCCCTGTGGCGAGATTGGGATAGCGTGAAAAATGAACAATTTCTCTTTCTACCTCTGTCCACTGGAGTTATTGCAATAGCTATGTACTATGTACATAAAGGCTAAAAAGAAGAGCAGGTGCAAGAATTCTATTATTAAAGGCTCACCTCGACCTGATCCGCTTGCTCTGTGTACCTTGGAGGCACATGAAGCCACAGTGAAGGGTGTGTATCGACTCCCGCATGCTATCTACTGCCGTAGCTAGCCCGTGTCAGACTCTCCACGAGCTACTAGCGGGAGACCGCGAGTAAACGCCAATAGCCCGGCCCGGTATGGCAGTTCGCCGAGGGTCATGGTCGTAAGCATTTTGCGCGCATGCGTTGAGGCGCGCGCACATGTACTGTTTATATTATACTGCCACATTCCCTTTTAAGGGTGCACACGAGTCGGAGTTTATGAATTATAGGTTGACAGTATAGAGTGGAGTTTTGCCAAGTGTACTGAGGCTGAGTGAAAACTGAAACCCCACAGTCACACATGCACACATTGATACTTAAGTTCCCAAGCAAAACTGAAGTCGTCACACAAATAGTATAGCAATGATGAAATGCCAGAGACCTCTCTATGCACACACTATAGCTGTACGAAGAAACCCCCTTCGTTTGAGTCAATACACACACAAACATTGCCAAATAAGGTGAGAGCATACACTAATGTGTATTCAGTAGGTATGGACTATAAAACTGTGGGAATACTATAATGAGGCTGCAATACTATATATGGGGTGTAATACTAGTTGAGGCCAAAGCCTTGGGAGAGTTTCTCATACTATAGACTATAATTGAGCTTCTCATACTAGTAAGTATGTCTATAGTATGAGAAGCTCTCCCAAGGCTTAGGCCTCAACTAGTATTACACATCTTTACTGTGTGGTATATATAATTATACCAAAATGAAGTCATCCTGGTTTGTACCACACACAGTAAAGATTGCATGTACCAATCACTAAACAGTCCAATGCAGTTCTATTCTGCATTGTGACAAATTGACAATTTGGCCACCCCTGCCAACCCCTGCACGTATTAGCTTATATGGCCGTGCATAAGGCACCATCTGATGAAGGTGATTCAGAGCTGGACTGGTGGTGAGCTGTCTTGGCGTCTGCCGCGGTAGACGAAGAGCTGTTGCTACAGCGACTCCGACTGGCGTTATGAGGGGGGCTGTGACTGGGAGAGAAGGGGAGAGAGGCCGGCCTGTCCAGATGCCTCTCCTGTATACCATGGTGTAGCAAGAAAAAGAGAGTAATTCTCCAATAATGAAAAAAACAATAATTCAGCTCTAGCTACACAGCACGTTTATAATACATCAAGTGCACCGTAGCCAAAACACCATTCGGAAAGGAAATAGCCAACTATCATCAACAGGTATATACGGCATCGAAACATACGAGGAGCGCTATATTATAGTTCGTCTCAAAGAGGTTGCATAGCATACGTAGAGCAATATTAGCTTTTGCGTCGTATTAGACACGGCACGACGGCTTACTGGATCGTGGGAGCAGGACGGGGAGAGAGAGTGAACTTCGGCGCTCATCTTGCACTGCGCTCCCGTCTCCAGCGCGCTCAGTTTTTATAGTCCCACTGGCTTGACGCATGCGCATTAGTGGAGTCAAGATGGCGGCGGGGGTTGGCGGAGCTGTCGAGTTGCTGAGCAAAGCCGTGGTTGTGAACGCCGCGGCCGGGAAGCACTCAGCCACCCTTCTCTTTCTTCACGGCCTTGGAGATACGGGGTGAGCCGGAGAAATTCAGCAGAACTGATCCAGCATAGATGATCACGTGACTCTACTCTTCCCTGCATGCAGACATGGGTGGGCTGAGCAACTGGCACATATTCGTCATCCCTCGCTCAAAATTGTCTGCCCAAATGCGTGAGTTATTGGAAAGTCTTTAGCCAGTAGTGTAATGTGCACATAATGCTTGGTAACCGTAGGAACGATGCTAGGATACGACAAAGAGTGTGGGTGGTGGTGGGAAGGTGTTAAAATAGCTAACGCTTTGCTTTACATTCCTAAAAACATTTCATTTTCACGTTAACCTACGTTTGTTTTTGCTTTTAAACGCACCTTGCATTGAAACCGCGAGGATTAGCATTTTTAGTGATTTACATTGTTTTTGCAGGCCTGTTGCCCCGGTAACACTCAACGGGGGATTCCGCATGCCTTCCTGGTATGTGGGTGTAATAGCAATGATGTCATTCTGTTAACGTATGACGTAATCTGTAGGTTTGACATCTACTCACTAGATAAGACATCTAAGCAGGATGAGGAAGGACTCCAGAAAGCTGCGAAAGAGAGTAAAGTTTTACAAGGGGAAGCCCCTACAATTAGGACACCAGGACAAGGAAGAGTGTCCTGATCAGTGAGGTGTCCTGATTAGAGAGGTGTCCTGATTAGAAAGGTTTCCTGATAAGTGAGGTGCCCTGATGAGTGAGGTGTCATAATCAGTGAGGTGTCCTGATAAGTGAGGTGTCCTGATTAGTGAGGTGTCCTGATTAGAGAGGTGTCCTGATTGAAATGTTTCCTGATAAGTGAGGTGCCCTGATGAGTGAGGTGTCCTAATCAGTGCGGTGTCCTGATAAGTGAGGTGTCCCGATTAGAGAGGTGTCCTGACTAAGAAAAATATTCTCTCTGAATAGCTATATTATAGTGTGACGATAAGGACATAAGGACACATTTTCTCCTAAAAGGTCTAATGTATCCTGAAAGCTATGGTTTCCCACGCGCTATCAATATTTCCATCCTTTTTAGCCACCATTAAACACCTTTCCAACCCACCTGTTTTGTCAACAAATATCCACATACAATGACACATATACATGTATAGTAAACATGCGTTGTTGCATACACTTGACACGTTTCAGTTTCTTGTTTAATTCTACGTGGAAAAGTTTTCCCAAAAGTAACCACTTTAAAAATGTTTTTACCCACGTCAACGTAATACTGTGAAACCACAGAACAAGGGGCCCCTAGGGGGAACCTCTGAATAAGGGGCCCCTAGGGGGAACCTCTGAATAAAGGGCCCCTAGGGAGAACCTCTGAATAAGGGACCCCTAGGGAGAACCTCTGAATAAGGGACCCCTAGGGAGAACCTCTGAATAAGGGGCCCCTAGGGGGAACCTCTGAATAAGGGGCCCCTAGGGGGAACCTCTGAATAAGGGGCCCCTAGGGGGAACCTCCAAATAAGGGACCCCTACCTCTGAATAAGGGGGCCCTAGGGGGAACCTCCAATAAGGAACACATTCGATGTCCCCAAAAGTGTCCCTTATTCAGATATTTATTGACTATTGGTGTTACTTTTCGTAACGTGCAGTTCACGAGATTCTGGACGCCGAGTGCTCTGAGCCAGGGATGTCTCCCGACAGAATCATTCTTGGTAATGAGATCTCCTTCTCTAGCTACCGTAATTATCTTCATACAGTGAAAGAGGACCCCCCGAATAAAACATCTAACTATAATAATAATAATTATACCTCGCCGTAAGAGACACTTAAGCTCTGCTCCATACTAATAATTAATCTTGAGGAAGGTTGTCCATGTCCAGCGCTTACACGCTTACATTACTTTAGTATACTGTCTACGAATAAAGGACAATTTTCAATATCCCAAGGTGGCCCTTATTCAGAGGTCTGTACCAACAAACAGCCTCAGGCAAAAAAAACATTTTTACATGGTGTCAGTGCCTATGTTTATGATGGGTCCTCTCACAATGAAACTTGGTGCACTGATGTAATGTGAATGACGACAATGACCAATGGCACAGATAGATTTGCCCTCCCTTCCCTCCCCCTCCCTCCCTTCCCTCCCCCTCCTCCTCCATAGGAGGGTTCTCCCAGGGAGGCTGTCTGGCCATATTCTCAGCTCTCACATATCCCAAGAGACTGGCTGGAATACTCGGTCTCAGTACCTACTTACCAATCCACCAGATCCTGGAGACGGTTAGTTTAATAATTATTAGCCAGCAAAGTTTCTTGTTTTTTGTTATCAGACGCTGTCTCACATACACATTATTGTTACCTCAAAACTGAAACCGTTCCGTTTTGCTTGCACAAAACATTTTTTACTGGTGCAATTTTTTAGTGCTCAGTAATCAGACATTTTTTCTTCTTTTAGAAGATGACGTCAGAGAATAAGACTATTCCTTTCCTCCAATGTCACGGTGACTTGACTATTCCTGACCCCAACTCTTGTGTGCCCTCTTTGCTTGCCATGTGTTTCTCATGTGGCGGTATAAGAGCTAAAATTAGATATGTTCCTATATAAAAACTCCCTCACTGTGTCCCTATTGTTCTATCTTTAGTAAAAGTTATACTGCCACGAAACTCCCTCCCTCTCCTCCCTCCCTTCTCCCTCCCTCCCTCTCCTCCCTCCTCCCTCCCTCCCTTCCCTCCCTCCTCCCTCCCTCCCTCCTCTCCTCTCCCTTCCCACCAGGTGATGCAGATCCAATGGTGGCTTACAAATTTGGGAAGCTGAGCTCCGAACGCATTACATCATTCAACCCTGACAACCATCAATTCCTGACATACCGTGGTTTAGGCCACGCCTCCAATGAGCAAGTTAGTTGAAGCCCTTCCCTTGACTCTCTTTTCATTCATATCATTCTCCTCCCTCCCTCCCTCCCTCCTCTCCCTCCCTCCACTGTTTTATATAGGAAATGGAAGATGTAAAAAGATGGTTGCTCAGTGTACTATCTATTGGAGGCAACCTTTGACCTCCATAAACCACAGACTTACACTAGACTCCTGCATTCACTATCATTATAATACAATTCCAGAGCCTTATATAGCACTCACTAAAAAACCAAGGCCTACTATTGCTATCGTTACGCGTGCGGCTTTTGTCTTTATGACATGATCAAAATTTCTTATTCAACTTAAATATACGTCGGAGGCGCCATTTTCAACACATAACAGGAGGAGCTATTGGGGCGAAGTGAGGTGGTGTATGGAGAGGGGCTGTGGGTCTGATTGTGGCGGCGGCAGTATGAGAGATGAAGTCAGTCAATAGCTGTGCACATTTCCTCGGTCTCTCCAGAGAGATGGCATGGCCACACCTCTCCAGGACTTGGACCCGCGACCCGCGAACCAGGGAATGGAGAATGGACGCTCCCGACACGTCACACACCTGGACAGTGAGGACAGAAAACACAGCCTTCAATCATCATAAGCCATAAGCCATAAGTACTATGTAGCCTTTTTTAAATCGTCTAAATCCATAGTTAAAGGAAATGTGACAGCACATCATGAGGGATAAATTTAGCAATTCTACTAAAGAGATAAAAAGGGCCCAGTGCAATAATGGAATCATGTTTCCGTTTTTAGTAAAAGTGTCTGAATATTTGCACTTATACTGCCACAGTATGTGTGCCACACTCCACTAGGTTGTGGATTATCTTACCCTATCGTGTTGTCCCCAGAGGATGAAGAGTGGCATGGTGATGTTCTTGGCGAGTTGTCTCACCTCCCTGTCTCCTTCCTGCGTCTTCCGCAGGTCCTTCTGGACTGTGTATATATAGGGAGTATGCAAGAGATTACTAGGGAGTATGCAAGAGATTACTAGAGTTTACTGACTCTCTGGACTGTGTATGGAGTATGCAAGAGAGTATGCAAGAGATTACTAGAGTTTACTGACTCTACTTTACAGTAAGAGAAATCTTTCGCAGATAACTTGGCAATTTCCTCAAAAGTTTTTTTGCTATACTGTAAACGCAATAGGCATGGTAACCGTAATAAAGAGACAGACAGTAAAATATATAAAATGGCAGAGATGAAAAACACTGACTTTTATCGAAGTGATGGTAGTGCTCCATTTGAAGGGAGAGGAGTGCCTGCCTCATGCGGTAGTGGAAGGTGAAGAGAGAAGGATTGTAGAGAACTACGTCTATCATCTGTTGGAATTCATCGGGACACTGCGGGAAGAGGAGCGAGAGTTGACCTGTGACCTCGAACTCCTTGATGTACTTGGTGGCCACTCCGTTGCTGAGTCTGTGGGTGACTGGTGAGAGGGGGAGAGGAGTAAATTAGTTCCAATTCCCTTCTTTTGCACTAGTTTTATACAATCATGTCATTGAGATTTTAGCGGAAGTCTTACTGGGGGGACACAGGAGGGTGAGAGAGTCCAGCTTGTGAGGATATGTGGAGCCGTAAGAGGCGGAGATACAGGCTCCAAGAGATTCGCCAACCAGGTGGAATCTCTCCAAACCCACTGCCTCCACAAACTGGGCGGAAAGAGAGAGAGAGAGAGAGAGTCACTAATACATTCTGTAGTCTCAGATCACCCCATCACACCATATATACTCTCCCTGGCAACCAACATTCCTCTCCTATTACTGTAGCAACCCTGTCTAATCAAATACTCCACAATACTGCCAGGAGTGTTTACAGATAAAGGTCACCTTCCACTTTGGCCATAGTCTAAATTTCCTAATAAGGTATGTATGCACCAAACTAGGGCTATGAAAGTGGTGCTAAAGGTCAGGTAATTTCCTAATAAGGTATGTGTATGCACCAAACTAGGGCTATGAAAGTGGTGCTAAAGGTCAGGCGTTACTACTACTCATAGCCTGTGCTAAAAATAGCAGTAAGAGGCCAGACTAGACTTGAAAAGTGAAATGCTATTTCATCATTGTCACATGACACTGTATTACATCATACTCTGCGGTGCTATACGTAAAGCCAGGCCAACACCTCTGCTGGTCACATGACATCACATGACAACATAGTTGCTGGGGTCATCAATTTTGACACACAAGGGACAGTCTGTAGAGTTTTTGACGTGCAACATGGTAAGATGCACACCAGAACACTTGCACAATAAGAACAAGCATATTTCTCAACATTCGCTTTTAGCTTTTAGGCCCTTTGAAAAAATGAACGTAAACATTAACAAAGCACTTATAAACATGAAAGATAGCCAACACACACACAACACTGTACCATGTCAACTTTCTCTGCCATTCCGAAGGGTGAGTAGTCTTGGGTCGGATCGAAACTTGACTCCCCGTGACCCGGCATGTCCAGAACCAGGATCCGCCATTGCCGCGGGAGACCCATCACGACTCTAACCCATGACTCCTTGTTACTGGTGAAGCCGTGAAGAAAGAGGAGGGTGGGGTGGGCGGAGTTTGTCGTACCAGCAGCGTCCGGTTTCGTCGCCGCGTCTCTGTTGCCGTTTCGGGGGAGGGGAGAACGCTCGTAGTAGCCGAAGTGGAAGTTTTTGGTTTTTATTGACTTTCGCTGAAGTCCGGCCAAAATGTAACCACCGAATCTGAAGGTGGAGAAGAGGAAAGATAGAGGAGAGAAAGACGCGGGGAAAGGAAAGATAGGGGAAAAGAGAAAGATGAAGCTCAAATGGATGACTTCGAAATAGTGGTAACCTTATATGCCCGCAGTCTTCCCCGCAAACAAGGCGAGGTCAAACTCTAGCAGCCGACGCCTTACACGGCCGAGGGGTAACTATAGCTACGACACTATATACGACGAACACCGGTTTTAGCGGCTGACCTGAGGTAGCCTTGTACGAGGGGCGAAGGGAAGACGTAGTACATTGCCAACACTACGGCGGCCACGGCTGCGGGCGAGCAGACGAGCGAGAAGAAGAAATCGACCATCTTTCCCCCAGTCGTCTCAGCGTGTAGCAACTGTAGAGCGTAGCAGAGCTGGGTGACGCCCTTAGCGAGTCACACAGACGACGTACAGTTCCAGAATACGGTAGTGCTGCGGTCTGGCTGGCTTGACAAAGGGGATTTGGCTTTTATGTGAGGGTCACTGACCTCACCTTTCTTTCTTTGTAGTAGCTCCGATCGTTCGAGTTCTGTTTACGTGTGTTCTGCGGTTAGGAATGTAGTGTGAGTGCGTGGGCGTTGCTCGCCCGATCGCCTGATTTTTCGTCCCGTTCCCGATCGGCTGGGACGGAATCAAATATCGGACAATACCCGTTTTGCGCACGCGTAGTTACTAACGTCACGGGAGCTCTGAGTGTATTGCGCATGCGCGCGTGAGATGGGTTTTTGTGGGCGGGGCGTTTGGCCCCGTAAAAGTTGCGCGGGAGACCGGCGGGCCCGCCGATTTATTAGCCGTGATCTGAACACTCGTTTCTTTACCTCTTCTCTTTTTCTCTTCGTCTCCACGCGATCTCCCGAGCTACGCAGAGTCTCAGCCGTTCTCTAGCAAAAGGTGATTTGCCTCTCGTCCCGTCGCTCGCCCCGTAAACTAGGCGAGTGTGCGTTAATTGGAGTGGTTACCCTTCCAAGTCGGCCGGGTGTCCCCAACCAGCTGAGGGTGTGTGGCGATGGACGATTCGTTCACGGAACCGCCGCGGCGATCCACACGGTCAGTAGCTACGTTGTCTTCTAAGTAGACCGTTGATTCCTTTCCCCATCTCTCTCTCTCCCTCTTCTCTTTTCTAGTCGAGTCTTGCTAGAGTCCAGACGGGACTACGAGTCGCAGTCTCCAATATACCACCACCACCCAATATCAAGTAAAGCCTCTCTTTATTTCTCTCTGGGTAGCAGTGACATAATAATATAGTGATAGCACTGACATTATAGTGAAGTAACAAAAGTGTTCGAACTCCCCTTGAGCTATATAATATGCAAGTGTTCTCCAGCATGTACTACAGTATGTAATCCATACTTTACCCCCCTTCGCTTCTTTCTTTCCCGATCCCCCTCCCCCCCTCTCTCTCTTTTCTTTCTCTCCTTTTCTTTCGCCTCCGTCGCTGCAGGTTCCAGTGGAGCCAGCAGAAAGAGAAAGTTGAGCAGTTCGGGAAGTGGTGGAGGAGGAGAGGGAGGAGGGAGCGAGGGAGGAGGAGAGGGGGAGAGGAGGTGGGTGAGAGATGAGAGGGACAGAGGAGACGGTGGAAGTGTGTCCTACTCAAAACGGTACACACAAAATCTGAATATCAAATTTTCCTCAACTTTTCATTTTAACTCTATCGTTGTCTGCAGGTCTTCCAATACACTATACGCAACGAAGCACAAGAGGTCTCGTATCCATGGCAACTCGGGGCCGGTTGCCATGGACACCATAGAGGTCCCGCTGCGTCGCAGCAAGCGGGAGAAGCGACTGCTGTTCTCAAACCTCAATCAACAGGAGATATACCAGCACATGATTAACAACGGCCCTCACTATCCAGTAATGGACTTTTCCGAGGTACCGTAATTTATATACACACTTACGGAGCAACTTGTACATGTAAGCCAAGGGTGGGATTGGTCCATTCGACATGAATCTTGACTAAACAAGTCACTTTATGCTCTTATGTATATTACACAAGTGAAGTGTGGTAGAATTTTGTGGCAAACGGCAAAAACCAAGTATACTCAGAATGTCTCCACCGAGCCTTATCGTCGCCATTTTGTTAGATTGTCCTTTTTGTTTCGCCTCATCTTTCTCTTGCCCCTGTGTATGTATACCAGGATGAACTGGAGCCGTACGAGAAAATCCTGTCTCCAGTGAGGCGTCGTCGACGGCGACCAGGCCACGCCTCCCCGCACTGCTCTCCGAGACACCCGCATTCCTCTCCTCACGAGCGGTCGTCCCCGGGTTCACCGAGAATGAGACTGAGATCTTCTGGATTGGATCAGTGTGTAAAAGCTGAGACTATTGAAGGTGGGTGAGGGGAGAGGAAGAGGCAATGTATAGTAAATTTTTATTCCTTTGGGGCAAAAATTGATTCCTTCGCTGTTGGAATTTTACTTTTCGCTCTCAAAATTTGCTGTGTCAGACGTGTGTACGACATGCCAGAACTAATTGAAAATCTGTCACATCTTGCACGGCTCTAGAATGGGAAACATTATTCCTCGAAACTTTTTTGTCGCAAAACAATTTCACTTCGACTGCGTTCACGGAGTGCTTTTGCGCGGCAGAGTCCCCGTCCGCTGCAAACCTGCCGTCTCGATCTGATCGTCACTAGCAACGCCAAACCAGCGGCCCACTGCTCCTCCAATTTAACCAAACGGGTGTAATTAACAACACTTCAGCTGCTAGGCGTTGCGGTATATATAGCATGTATCGCACCACATTTTCAGCTTTAACTGAACAGCGTGCGCATTTTTAAGACTTTGCAATAAACTACAATATAACGTACGTAGGTCATTTGTGCTCAATTTTCAAATGCTTGCTCGTTTGTTTGTTCTGAAGGAGGAGAGAGGGGAGAGGAGGAGGGAGGGGAAGAAGAAGGGAGGGGAGGAGGTGAAGGCAGTCAGACCCCGGGAGAGAAGGGAGAGAGAGACACCGTGACAGCCACCGAGGAACAAGAAGAAGAGGGAGAAGAAGAAGACAAGGAAATGGAAGAAGAAGAAGAAGAGGGAGAGGAGGGAGGGAGGGAGGGGGTATTACCTGAGGAAGCGAAGACCCGTTGTGTACCAATATCAACCCATCATTCAGGTAACCATTTTCCTGAGGGTTATACATACACAGCAAGTCCATTGAAGGGAATGTGGCTGGCAGTATACACATGTGGGCTAAATTTGGAAACGGGTACTAAAAACTGAATCTCGATTGTATTCTCGCCCGGGGCTGTTTAGTTCTATCTTTAGTAAAATTAGCAACGGATCGAAACAGTGTCGCTTGTAGAGAGGTTGTCCTTTATAAGAGATCTCTGTCACTCTCTCTCTCTCCCTCTCTCTCTCAGGTGGTTGAAGATGACACGCCACCAAAGAAGAGACGGCAGAGGGTCCGCACGGCCAGCGGATCTGACTCCGCCTACTACCGGAAGTCTGGTTCCGCCCACCATGCCCCGAGGGCATACGGGTCCAAAGGTCAGTCGTCGGCAGCGGCAACCATTGTATCTCGGAGGGTGAGACGAGTTGCTCATGCCCACGACTCCTCGTCAACCAGCTCATCAGGTTTGGCTATATACACAAATAGTTATTATTCACTAATACATAGGGACACCTCTCTATAAAGGACACTTGGTTCTGCCCCATACTAATACATAGGGAGTATGGGGCAGAACCAAGTGTCCTTTATAGAGAGGTGTCCTTTATTCAGAGTATCCTTTTTCAGATATTTTGATGAGCCGCTGCAGAATCCAGTAAACAAGTCTTCTTCTTCCCCTGCAGGATCAGATTCCGACGAGGCGAGGTTTAGAAGACGGAAGTCGCGCAGCATGAAGAAGGCACGGTTACAGTGCCTCCCCATGAACTTTGACCCCTCCGAGCTGAGTCAGCCGGTGATAAGAGATCGTCAGAGGATCGGTGCCAGTCTGGCTGACGTTGACCCCATGAATATCAACAGAGAGGTACTGTATGTGCATGGGTTCTGAGAATTAACCATTACATCATTTCATTTTCGTACCATTGTGACATGGTCATTAAAGTATGATCATGCGTCCCCTGGAAAATATTATTAAGCAAAAATATACTCCATTCCAAATTTTGCTGCCTAGTATATACAGACCTCTGCTGTAATGCAGCTGCATTATGTAATGATGACATCACTGTTAATTGTACATCCCTCACCAGGTGACCTTTGACTCCATCGGAGGTCTAAAGCAGCACATTAGGTCTCTGAAGGAGATGATCCTCTTCCCGCTCCTCTACCCCGAGGTCTTTGACCGATTCCGGATCCAACCCCCGCGGGGGGTCCTGTTTTTCGGCCCCCCGGGGTGCGGGAAGACGCTGGTGGCGCGGGGGCTGGCAAACGAGTGTTCCCGCGACGGGAGGAGAGTGGCCTTCTTCATGAGGAAGGGGGCGGACTGTCTCAGCAAGTGGGTCGGAGAGTCAGAGAGACAGCTGAGACTTCTCTTTGACCAGGTGTCCTTCCTACTTGTTTGTGTTTACATTTCTGTTTGTTTGTGTTTACTTCCCTCTTTGATTGTTTTCGTTTACTTTCCCTGTTTGTTTACTTCCCTGTTAGTGTTTATTTCCCTGTTTGTTTGTGTTTATCATCCTGTTTGTTTGCATTTGAATCCTTGTTTGTTTGCTTTCCTGTTTGTGTTTACTCTCCTGTTTGTTTACCTCCCTCACACAGGCCTACCAGATGAGACCGTCAATCATATTCTTTGATGAGATAGACGGACTGGCTCCAGTCAGATCAACAAGACAAGACCAGATCCACTCCTCCATCGTCTCAACTCTACTAGCTCTAATGGTACAAAGCGAGAAAATGAACATGTTGGGATCATTGGAAAATGTCTTTTATTCAGAGGTGTCCCTATTTATGGGGCAGAACCAAGTGTCATTATTGAAATAGGAAAAAAAGTTTCAATTTTTTGTGGGTAGGGAAAATTTTGAGTGGTGAGATTTCACCGTGTATGAGTTTTCTCTCTCTCTCTCTCTCTCTCTCACTCTCTTACAGGACGGATTGGACAGTAGAGGAGAGGTCGTGGTGATTGGAGCCACGAACAGGATCGATGCCATTGACCCAGCTCTCCGGAGACCGGGCAGATTCGACCGGGAGTTTCTCTTTCCACTTCCGTCCAGAGAGGTTGGTTCAACTGCAGTATATGTACGAAACCTTAGAGTATGCAAAGATTTGTATACATGCTTAAAATGATGGCACATATGCAAATTTTCACTAAAACTACACTTCCGAGTGCTTTTCAACTAATCTATGGTAATGATTAGTGCAAAGTTTGTTGGTGTGCAGAAAGTCTTTTCTCTTCGTCTGTTTTACACAAGTAGGAGGAACATTTAGAATCACGTAGAACATTACGATATCTGCAGCGCCCAACATTGATAAGACTAGGTAGGCTCACAATTCTCTCCCTCTTTCTCCCTCTCTCCCTCTCTCCCTCTCTCTCTCTCTCTTTCTCCCTCTTCCTCCCTCTCTCCCTCTTCCTCCCTCTCTCCCCTCCTCCCTCTCTCCCCTCCTCCCAGGATCGATCCTCCATCATCTCCATACACACCCGTCACTGGTCCCCGCCCCTCAAACCTTCCTTCGTCTCCCAACTCGCCGACCAAACCGTCGGCTACTGCGGGGCCGATATCAAATCGCTCAGCACGGAAGCCGCTCTATCTGCGCTCCGTCGCACCTACCCACAGATCTATGACACCGGCGACAAGCTCGTTTTGGACGTCACGACGATAAACGTCACGGCGACCGATTTCTTCACGTCGTTGGGGAAGATTGTTCCGACGGCACGACGGAGCGAGTCGTCGTGCGCACTGGCGTTGCCACGCGAGGTTGCCCCTCTACTAATGAGGTCGCTAGGCGCCGTTCTCGGACTCGTAGAAGTCGTGTTTAACCCCTCTTGGAGAGCTGTGGAGAAAGCTCGGAGAGGGTTAAATGTAAGAAATTCTCTTCCGGCATTCAGTACCTACTTATAGAGAGGTGTCCTTTATTCCGAGACTCTTGTATTCAGAGGTTTTGATGTACCATTCTTTGCCACCACCACTCTTTGTTTTTCAACTTTTTCAAAATTTTTTCCTTCTCCACAGGCCGCCTTCACTGTTGAGACCCAGAGAGCCAGGATCATGGAGGAACACGTACGGAGATTAACAACCGACACAACAACCCACCACAATTCCCGGTCCATAACCGGTTTGATCAGTTTCGAAACCGGTTCGACCAGCCTGTCAAGTTCTCGAACCGCCAGTCGGCAAGACTCGCAGTGCTCAATGTTGTCAGACGTGTTTGAGCGCAGCCAGCCGAGCCAGAATGCCGTCTACTTTAAGATGGATGATGTCGTAAACGAGGTGGGTGGGGTCGAGAGCATCACCGTGGAAACTAACGACGACTCGGCGGAGACACTCTCTCCCAGTGGAGAAGAGGATGCCCCTGATAATCGCCAGGCAACGACAGCAGAACCTCGGAACCTTGGCACCGACAATCCAGGATCGATACTCGGATCGTCTCTCTCGTCCTCCCACCCTCACTCCCTCCCAGTCGTACACCGACCACGCCTACTCCTGTGCGGAGCTCCGGGCGGAGGTCAGAGTTCGCATCTAGGCCCCGCCCTCCTGCACATCCTGGAAGAGATACCGGTGAAAGTTCTTGATCTTTCCGTCATTTTCGGTGTCACTTCGTGTTGCCCCGAAGAGTCTCTGGTTCAGCTCTTCAAAGAAGCAAAGAGAACGTCGCCTTCCATTGTCTATCTCCCCCGCATCGACTCGTGGTGGGGCGTTACCACGGAGACGTTTCAGGCCACCTTCACCTCGTCACTCCTCTCCCTCCCTCCCTCCACCTCCCTCGTCGTCATAGCGACCGCGGAGTGCCCGTGGAGCGAGCTCTGTCCCTCGCTAAAGAAGTTGTTTAGTTTCGTAAGTAGTAGATAACTTGACTGTCGAATGCTACATGAGTTGCTAGTACGTAAGTTAAAAAATACATTATTTAAGAATAAAAGATGGATAAGGACCAGACATTTTGAGGTTGTCCTTTGTAGGTTAAGAGAAAATGTTTGGTAGAAATTAAAATTCAATCTTTATTGAGAGGTTTATTTATTGTGTATGTAGCTACGTATATGAGTTGGAGTTCCCTGATTATCTACTTTTTAACCTATGAATCTTCCACATGTTCACTAACATTTAACGAACACGGAGTTGCTTTACTTCACCCCCCCTCTCTCTTTCTCTCTCAGTCATGTGAGACGTACGCAGTTCCTCGTCCAGGAAGAGAAGAGAGAAGGAGGTTCTTTTCCGACTCCCTGCTAGTGAAGCCTCTCCTTCCTCCTCCAACCTCTCCTCTCACCTCTACCAGTATGGCCCCCTATGGCATCTCGCACCATACAGCTTACTGCAGCTTTCTCTTACATAATATACTATTAATAACAGCAAAAGGGTGCTTTTTGAAAGTCAACGAATACTATTAAAAGAGCTTAAGAGATTATGCGACATAGTCTTTTAAATGTTGCCATAAATTTAACTCCTTTCTTCTCTCGTCTTCTCTCCTCCTCAGTTATGCAGCACAAGCAGCTGCCACTGGCCCCGCCCCCCAAGTCCCGCCAACTGGCGCCCGGAGAACTCAACAAGATGGACCGCCAGAGAGACAGCGTCCTCCGCGAGCTCCGAATCTTCCTCCGAGAGGCCACCAACAAGCTAATGGCCGAGAGAAAGTTCAAAGAGTTCACGAGACCCGTCGGCCCCGCGAGGAGATGGGTGTGGTTATGATGCCATGATGATGTAATGGCCACAACACACGATGCAACTCTGTTACGTGAGACAAAAATGCATGCATCTTTGTATGTATTGATATGCTAGATCTGCTGCATATATTAGTCTATTGACCCAAAATTTCTTAGTGAAGTGATGTCATAATGATGTAATGCAGGTGCCTGATTACTATGACATCATCAAGGAGCCGATGGACCTGGGGACCATAATGAAGAAGATCGATGAGCATCATTACAACACAAACAAAATTACAAAACAACTCCCCAGACAGTGGCTGGGAGATGTCGATAAGATCACTGAGAATGCCGTCGAGTGAGTGAAGGAGGGAGGCCCCGCGTCTGTCTGTATGCAACTATTGCTGTGCTATATATGCCTTTAGAAAGTGGACAGAGAGGTTTTGGCATGGCGAATAAGTTACATTTTCTGCTTGATGGTGTGCTATGGGCTAAAGTTTTCATGGTGCTAGGCAAGTCATACGACCCGTAGACATATGTACATGTAGCTTCTTTTGTTTCCTATTCCTCCTGTCGTGCGGGCATCTCCTCTCCCTCTCCTCCTCTCTCTGTCCCTCTCCCTCCCGAAAGAAATCTCTCTCTCTCTCTCCCCGCCTCTCCTCCGCTATCCTCTCTCTCTCCCGGCAGTACAACCCAGCTCATGACTCCGACAGCCGCCTTCTCCTCCACAGGGCGGCTGCCCTCCAGGACATGGCCCACTCCATCCTGGAACACGAACTCAGCGAAGACTTCGAACAGGTTTTTCTTGACGAGCGAATCGAGCCTCCCTTGTCGTGCTTATTCCATGTGTTACACACAGAGCACTCGCCTCTGGACTGCAGAGTGTCGTGGGTTCGAATCCCACCCAGGGCAGCTCTTCTTTTTTCCCTGGGTGTAGTTGATTTGTTTGCCTCTGCCTTTGCTACATCACTTTGTTTGTTGGCTTTCTCTGAAAAGAAAGAGCTGTCCTGGGTGTAGTTGATTTGTTTGCCTTGCCTTGCCTTTCTACCTCGTAACCAAGTTGAGTTAGTACTGAGTTTCCCTGGTCGCTCAGTTGGTAGAGCACTTGCCTAAACTGCAGAGTGCCGTGGGTTCGAATCCCACCTTTCTTTTCACCCAGGGCAGCTCTTCTTCTTTTGAAAAGAAAGAGCTGTCCTGGGTGTAGTCGACTTGTTTGCCTTGCCTTCCCTTTCTATCTCGCTATATACCGAGTTGTTGAAACATGTGTTATGTGGAGGATTGTATATATGTGTCTATCTTGCTATTGACACATACAACAAATGGCGCTGCACGCACCGTAATTTTACGTGGTTCTATAAAGTCTCTTTTTTTGACACATACAACAAATGGCGCTGCACGCACCGTAATTTTACGTGGTTCTATAAAGTCTCTTTTTTTGACACATACAACAAATGGCGCTGCACGCACCGTAATTTTTACGTGGTTCTATAAAGTCTCTTTTACCGCGTTTGTCTCCTCATCAGCAATGTGAAGATATTGAAGACACTTACAAGAAAGTTGGAAGTAAGTCTTCGTCTGTTTGTCAATTTTCGGTTTCGATTTCGGTTTCGATTTCGGTTTCACTGCATTTATTGTCATCAGGAAGAGATACAAACCAAGGAACGAGTCAGCCGCTGAAGACTGCCTCTTCCTCGTGTCGTGGTCCCTCCGATCACGGAGACCACACCCCCAGCCACGCCCCCTCCCCCTCTCGAAGCTCAACCCACTCGTCCAGAAGAGGTATATAAACATCGTAACTTTTCTCGTGCAAGAAAGTTTCATCATAAATATTTGTATTACGACCATTTTGTCTGTTTTTATCTGTTGCTGTCTCACTGAACAAAGCACAAACGTCACATTCGGTTCGAAACTTTCTTTTTACACGATAAATTAACATTCGCTAAAAATCCCCCAATTTCATTTGTTCTGATTGTCTTCTATGCTCATTCGAGTATACATTATACATTACTATTCCATACTCCAATGATAGTAAAAAGATTAGGCATGGTTGGCTTGTCTCTTCTTGCACTGATGTTCCTACAGAAAATGCGAGATCGTTGACACCCTTATTTTGAGGTTGGGAAGTATAGGTGAAATAGAGGTGAAAGAAGGATTAGGGAAGCTAGATAGAGAGAAGTGCAGCAAGTAAGTATACATTACTATTCCATACTCCAATGATAGTAAAAAGATTAGGCATGGTTGGCTTGTCTCTTCTTGCACTGATGTTCCTACAGAAAATGCGAAATCGTTGACACCCTTATTGAGGTTGGGAAGTATAGGTGAAAATAGAGGTTGCAAAATAGAGGGATAGGTTAAGCTAGATAGAGAGAAGTGCAGCAAGTAAGTATACATTACTATTCCATACTCCAACGATAGTAAAAGGATTAGGCATGGTTGGCTTGTCTCTTCTTGCACTGATGTTCCTACAGAAATTGCGAGATCGTTGACACCCTTATTTTGAGGTTGGGAAGTATAGGTGAAATAGAGGTGAAAGAAGGATTAGGGAAGCTAGATAGAGAGAAGTGCAGCAAGTAAGTATACATTACTATTCCATACTCCAACGATAGTAAAAGGATTAGGCATGGTTGGCTTGTCTCTTCTTGCACTGATGTTCCTACAAAAATTGCGAGATCGTTGACACCCTTATTTTGAGGTTGGGAAGTATAGGTGAAAATAGAGGTGAAAGAAGGATTAGGGAAGCTAGATATAGAGAGAAGTGCAGCAAGTAAGTATACATTACTATTCCATACTCCAATGATAGTAAAAAGATTAGGCATGGTTGGCTTGTCTCTTCTTGCACTGATGTTCCTACAGAAATTGCGAGATCGTTGACACCCATATTTTGAGGTTGGGAAGTATAGGTGAAATAGAGGTGAAAGAAGGATTAGGGAAGCTAGATAGAGAGAAGTGCAGCAAGTAAGTATACATTACTATTCCATACTCCAATGATAGTAAAAAGATAGGCATGGTTGGCTTGTCTCTCTTGCACTGATGTTCCTACAGAAATTGCGAGATCGTTGACACCCGTATTTGAGGTTGGGAAGTAGAGGTGAATATAGGTGAAAGAAGGATTAGGGAAGCTAGATATAGAGAGAAGTGCAGCAAGTAAGTATACATTACTATTCCATACTCCAATGATAGTAAAAAGATTAGGCATGGTTGGCTTGTCTCTTCTTGCACTGATGTTCCTACAGAAATTGCGAGATCGTTGACACCCTTATTTTGAGGTTGGGAAGTATAGGTGAAATAGAGGTGAAAGAAGGATTAGGGAAGCTAGATAGAGAGAAGTGCAGCAAGTAAGTATACATTACTATTCCATACTCCAACGATAGTAAAAAGATTAGGCATGGTTGGCTTGTCTCTTCTTGCACTGATGTTCCTACAGAAATTGCGAGATCGTTGACACCCATATTTTGAGGTTGGGAAGTATAGGTGAAATAGAGGTGAAAGAAGGATTGGTGAACCTAGATAGAGAGAGGTGCAGCAAGTAAGTATACATTACTATTCCATACTCCAACGATAGTAAAAAGATTAGGCACGGTTGGCTTGTCTCTTCTTGCACTGATGTTCCAACAGAAAATGCTAAAGTATCACCATTCTTGAGATTCTGTTTATTTTCACTTTCACTGTTTCTCTCCCCTCCTTTCTCGTCGTCAGGGGAGGGCTTGTACGAGTGCAGGCGAAGAAGTCTGAGGGTTAAAGGTCTCGAACCAGAGGAGAAAGGTTTTGACTACTACTCCACTTCTAGAACACCTCGTAAACTGAGAGAGAGGGAGGGAGAGGAGGAGGAGGAGATGGGGGGAGAGAGGGAGGAGGGAGAGAGGAGGAAAGAGGGAGAGAATGAGGAGGAAGAGGAAGAACGAGGACGGGAGGTCGAGGAACGGAAGGGAGAAGAGGGAGAGGGAGAGGTGGCGGGGGACAGCGAACCATTACTTGAAAGTGGTTACGACGACGATGAGGACGAAGAAGACGGAAGAAAAAGCAGAGACGCTCCCGACACATCGACAGAAAACAGTTCGGCTCTTAGCAAACGCCGCAAGCGAAGAAAGCCAAATCTGTCGGGAGTCAGTCGCCGTGACAACACGGCCGGTGTTTCCGACGACAGAATGGACACGGAGGAATCCGAAGAAGATTCAGCGGAAGACGCGATTTTGCTGGCCGGAAGTTCGAGCAGAAGTGGTAGACATCGCCACAGATCGCGTGGTGATACCGACATGGTGGACACACCGACCGATTACAAATCTGCTAGCAGTGGATCTACTGTTGTTAGCATACAACGGAGCATTAGGAGACGGGCTAGGGTTAAACACAGGCTGTTTGCTAGAAACAGGGCTTCACCTACACGAGAGGAGCGATGTAATGATGATGTCATCGTCGTGGCGACCACTTTGGGAGGAAGGAGGGAGGAGAAAGACGACCGCGAGATGCAGTCCCAGCTACATGGAGATCGCACGGCGAGAAACGGAGTCGATTACGAAACAAATCGAAACGATTTATTAAGTCCCCCACTTGACACGGATGCTGGAAGAGTCACTGCCTCCTCATCAGTATCTCAAAAGAATCGCTCGTTGACATCCGATGACATCACCGCTATATCTCGACACAAAACTGCCGCCATTCATCAAAACGAACAGTTCAGTGCTGGAAGTAATGCCGTCACAAAGAGGGCGAAACCCCTTGCAATTTCCGGTGATGTCATTTCCTCTAGCAGAGGAAGTGGGAGAGAAGTGCTGTGTAATGGAGTTGGAGGAACACCGGCTGATCTGTGGCTGGGAGGAGGAGGAGGAGAGGGGGATGAGTGTGATGTCAGAGATGTTTTGGTCGACATGGAAACGGAGTCTTCGTTGCCGCATGGCGAGCGGGATTTAAATTCGAAATCAACTCATTCGAGCGCCACCACTAATAGTAGAGGACAGGTATCGAATTCGAAATCCATTCCAAGCACCTCGACCACCACTTCCAGAGTCAGTAGTTTGAATTCAAATCCGAATTCGAAATCCGCTCCGAGCATCCCCACAACCATCACCATAGAGGAAGACTCGGGACCGCTCGTCTCCACGCAACCTCCTACTGAAGAGCGACTTGCAGCAGCGACAAGAAGTGAAGAAGTAGATATCGACGCTGGGAGTCTGTTGGCCGTATTCCGGAGAGTGGTCGACGAGACGGAGGAGACGAGTGTCGAGCAAATGGAGAAGATGCTCGCCACGTTCAATCATCTCGTGTTTCGATATCGCATGAGAACTGACCGACGCCAACTGCCTAAGGTGAGATCACGTGTAGCTAGTGTTTAAAACCTCTGTGTCAAAGGGAATGTGGCAGTATATAAGGGCTAAATTTAGAAATGTTACTAAAACGGAATTCGCTTTCACGTGCCCCTATAGTTTTGTTCTATCTTTAGTAACATTTCTAAATTTAGCCATTACATACTGCCACATTCGCTTTCATGGCCCTTGTCAGTACTTGCAGTGGAATGGGGGTATTGGAATGAGATGTGTGATATTTCCCATTCCCAGGATCTGGAACTGGCTGCCGACCTGTTTCTACGACAACCGCAGACACCAAACATACATGACTGAAACTGGGGACTCTATTGTAAAGATTATCTCTATCGTTATTGTTATCTATGATAATGTTGTTGTACAGTTTTAACTTGTTTGTGGTATAAAGAAAATTATTATTGCTTTGACGCATTAATTGGCAAAACGCAAATCCGGGAGATGGCACAATCTCCTTACAATGTACGTATGAAGAATGACTTTTTCAACTTTTTAAAAAACATGATCCAGCACATTAAAAAAATTATTACTGCTAATAATATTATGTAAAAAACCCATTAAAAATATATCTACTATATTATTAAAAAACCTATAAGATGGAAACAATCTATAGTTTGTTGATGATTGGTGTCGTATGGTCATTCAAAGAGTGTTCCATCAAAATCGTCAAAGCCTACTTCTTCTCCCTCGGAGGTGAGCGAGGCGAACGCCACGTCTCCAAACTTGTCCCTCAGTTTGAGGATCATTCTGTCGAAGCCACCTCTGAGAATGGACCCCAACCCACTCTCCCTCTCCCCCATACCACCCGGGGCCATCTCTTCCGCTGTCACGTGGTGCAGATTCCTCCGGTTGAAGGTGGTGATCTGGTAGACCAGCGACTCGTGGCTGGAATCGTGCGGAGGAGGGGGCGGTAAGAGCTCGAGGCTACTGCCGGAGAAACTGGACGCGAAACTAGAACTGGTTGTGAGGTCACCAGAGGACGAGGAAACGAAGGAGTGAGATGGAGCAATGGGTGGGGAGACTGGTATCGGGACTAGAGGTTGTTCTTCAAGCGTGGCAAACTCCATGAACGACGAGCTTCGTTTTGTTCCCCTCTCGAAAGTTCCCGTTCGTTTTTGGACCTCTTCACTACCGGACGCTACTTCCCCCGTTGACGAGGGGGCGGGGTTTTGGGCGGAGCCAGGCTCATCGGAAGTCTTAGTTATATGGCGGAAGTAGCTAGGTCCGGAAATTTCGTCGATTTTGAAATCGTTTTTGTGGTCTTTCTTCTTGGAAAAGATGGAGAAATCTGTTTCTTCAGTTCCGTCCGTTTCCACGCTTCCTTCTTCCGCGGCCTCGTTAGCATCGCTAGGCTCAGGGACATCCTCGCAATTAATGACAACCCATTCAGAGTACTTGTCTTGCTCGTCCAGTTTAACCCGTTTTGTTGCCGATGGTGCTGCATTGTCGTTGCCCCCAGCAACAGCAGTGGCTCCACCCACTCTGTCACGAGTCGAGAGTCGACGTATGATTCTGAAGACCTTCGTAGCAACGTCGACATCAGCAAAACTCATTCCGTGAACAGTCTTTTTCTCTTCGTCGTCTCCGTTGGCGGCGGCGACAAAGGAGTGAAAGTGATTGGTCAGACTGGCGTATGAGCACGTGGAGACTCCGAGTTTGAATTCCGTCGTCACTTCCCCTGACTCTGGATGGCTGAAAACAAGAGTCAGATTGTCCTGTTTGGACACGATGGACAATATTCCTCCACCCATCATCTCCCACCCCTTTCCTTCCTCCCCCTCCCCGTCCTCTTTCTTCTCCTCTTTCTTCCCCGTCCCTACCTGGGCGCGGTGGAGGGTAACGACGGTCTTGCATGAAAGGACGAAACCTCCTCTCTCGTGAAGGGACCTCAGGTATTGCTGCTGAAGGTCTTGTCTGGAATCTGCTGCCGTCCCAGTCTGGTCGGCCGTGGTGGTCCCGTTTTTGACGGCTGTGGTTCTTTTTTGGTCGGCGGTGGTTCCTTTCAGGTCGCTGTCGGCAAGAGCGGTAGTGGTGCTGGTCGGGGCTTCCATTTTCCGTTTCGGCAGCGAGCAAACTCACTGTCGAAAACTGGGGGAGGTGAAATTTTTTAAGTTCAGAGTTCATTGCTCACGTGGGGTTCACGTGATGTGGGGCGCGCGCAAAATCCGACCGGCCGTCGGAAAAGGAAGTAGGGAGGACACCGCGCTAGGTTGCCAGCCGTTGATGAACTGAAGTCCTAGAGGAAAAGACGGGCTACTTCGTCGTTTTGTCCGCCACGTTTCTGCGTCCGACGCGCTACCTACGCTCTCCCCACCGGCTGGCTCCTCATTATAGCTCTGGTGAACCCTTGTGTAGTATAAACTATAGTCAACTGGGGAAAGGAAGGAGCGGAGAGGGAGAGATATGGCGGTCAACGTGTTCGCTACGTCGGCCACGACAGAGAACCTGAGCAGACACGACATGCTCCAATGGATCAACGAGAGTCTTCAGATTGACTATAGCAAGATAGAGGAACTCTGTTCAGGTTTGTCTGTGATTATGGAGAGAGAGAGAGAGAGAGAGAGAGAGAGAGAGAGAGGAGAGCTGAAGGTAGAGAGAAAGGATAGGGAGGTAGGAAGACGAAACAGAAGAAGTGAAGGTAGAGAGAAAGGATAGGGAGGTAGGAAGACGAAACAGAAGGGATGGAAGAAGGAGAGAATAGGAAGACGAGAGGTGGAAACAGCAATTTTATGAAGTGTGTTCTTCCTGCACAGTTGACTGCACACAGTGCACCGATGCTTGACATTTTGAAAGTGTGCACATTGTTTGGTTTTGATAGTGACGTATGTGCAATACACACACAGGAGCTGTTTACTGCCAGTTCATGGATCTGCTGTTTCCAGGTAACCACAGATATTTTGTGATAATTACCTCCATTTGCACCAATTACTCGTCCTTTTCTTCCGGCTTGCTCTCTCTCTCTCTGTCTCCTACTGTTTGTTTCTCTTCTATCTCTCTCTCTCTCTCTTCTCTCTCTCTCTCTCTCTCTCTCTCTCTCCTAGGGTGCCTGGTGCTGAAGCGAGTCAAATTCGCCACAAGACTAGAACACGAATACATAGCCAATTTCAAGGCGTTACAGAATTCCTTTAAGAAAGTTGGCATTGACAAGGTAAGTGGACAAAACAATAATCCATGATCATCTAATGGTAAAATCTCATCTTAGTACGCCAGCCAGGCACTATTAAATTTTTTGCAGAAAGTGCTGATTTTACCCACCCACCACACACGTGCATGCAATTGCTTAATCACTCTTGCTTAACACACACGCACACAAACGCACACAAACAACAGGATGTCCCGATAGAGCGACTGGTCAAAGGTCGTTTCCAAGACAACTTTGAATTCTGCCAGTGGTTCAAGAAATTCTTCGACGCCAACTACGACGGGAGCGAATACGATCCCGTTGCCGCTAGAGACGGGCAAGTGGTTGCCACGGGAAACAAAGCCAGTAAGGTGGCTTCGTCAGGTGGAGGTGCAGCTAGAAAAAGCGGATGTGAGTTGAGTGCATCGTCTGTGCATCTATTAAATGTACACGCATTAATAACCCGAGGGCCTTGCATTGCAGTGTTGTTCAAAGAGTAGCTAACAAAGACACCATCCAAGGGCTTCTAAATAAGAATGTATAATGTATTGTAGGTCCACTTACTCCAATTGACGCACACTTCTTTGAGTTTCTTGAGAAAGTGGCACTGGTCACTATGGGGTTAATTTGAGTAGTGACGAGGGGGTTAATGTTGTTCAGTCACTCGTTGATGGAAATCTGGCTACACGTGTGTATAATAATTATACTTACTTGGAACCCAAGCCACTTGCCTTGAAATGTGTCCAACTTTCCCTTTGTGATAATGAGTGGCAAAGGAAGCCAATACCATATTATATATAAGGTGTATATATGTATTAATGAATGGACAAAGGATGGAGGCCTTGTTTGGGGTGGTACTTCCTCCACGACCCTATTGTCTATTTCTGGCACAATTTGTGACTTCAGTCACTAGTGTATAGTGGCTATACAGTGGAACCCCTCTCTAAGGACACCGAGGACACCTCTCTAATAAGGACACCTTTTCTTTCCCCAAGAACGGTTCTTGCATGCGCTTTAACCCCTGAATGCCATACTCTGCAGTGTCACCAAGGAAACCGGTAGCAGTCGCCAAACCAGTAGCCAGAACCAACGTCGGAACCAGATCAGGTAATAGGGGAAACCCCTTTAATTAGTTCAGTTAATTCTCTTGCTGTCAACATTGTCTTGCTTCTCTTTGCCTTGCAACTGTCACCATACAAATAGTTGATTAGCTTGATTTGCGACCTTGTGTGGTTATGATGTCATTATGACATCATCTGCAGCAGCAACAAAGGCCCAGCCGAGGACGTCGCCAGCAGGGATAAAGACTGGAGGAGCCGGGAGAGCAAACGCCGCAACTGGCGGGAAATCGGCCGACGCAGCTGGGAGGAAAGCAGCCGAGGAAGAGGTTGAGAGATTGAATGGAGTGGTGAGTTGAGTTGTGCAGTGGTCATTGGGGAGGGGGGAGCAGGAGCGAACTAACCCAGCGGTCCAAAGGGCAAAAGGTTTCTTATAATATATATGACTGTACGTCCTCCAGCTGCACTTGACCCGCTTATGTTTACGCTTCCTATATACCTGCCATAAATGCTCTTCATTCACACATTGAGCAGTTTTCGATATTATGAACAATCCGTGACAATCGTGACAATGTGCAAATGTCACCTACATACAGCTTTTTAAAACTCACTTCGCTCGCCTCGTTCTGGTATTCTCAATGATTTATTTCCCCTATATATACCCCATATCTATATCGCCAGAAGTGCATATCTTTCGTTCTGGTATTCTCTCAATGAGTTATTTCCCCTATGATTTATTTCCCCTATATGAGTATTAGTATGTATATGAGTTATTTCCCCTTATATATTATATATATGATTTATTTCCCCTATATGAGTATTAGTATGTATATGAGTTATTTCCCCTTATATATTATATATATGATTTATTTCCCCTATATGAGTATTAGTATGTATATGAGTTATTTCCCCTTATATATTATATATATGATTTATTTCCCCAGTAGTAGCAGGGAAGACCAGCTTTTGCTCTGGGATAGTGTGCAGAGCAATAATTGTCTCCCTCACATGCTATAATTAGTTTGACACCCCTGAATACTATAAGCTAAGGTCACTGTTATTGGTGACAAATATTTTGGGACTCAAGCAGTATGATTATTTCCCCTGTATATTACACCTCGACTGTCTCCCATGGCATGACTGTGGTACAGATTGCAGAGCTGGAGGTACAGATGCAGAGTCTGGAAGGAGAGAGAGATTTCTACTTTTCAAAACTGAGAGAAATCGAGGTCCTGTGTCAGGAGAACGAGGACAACCCGCTAGTGAAACCCGTACTAGACGTCATGTATGCCACTCAGGTTCGTCCAGGGATAAGATGATTTATAGTGTTAAACCTTCATTTAAGGAACCATCTGAATAAAGGGCACCTCTCTATAGAGAACGCTTGTTCTGCCTAATATTAGATCATTAATTAACGGGGACACCTCTTAACATAAATGTGCCCAGAGCCTCTGTAAGTCCATGAGAATTTTTATGGGGTCATAATACTAGGCACTAATACTTTATACATCAATTTCTTGGTTATTTAAGGAGATACCCAAGCGTCCAAAGGGTTAATTAACTTAAGTTAGTCCAGCTTACACTTTCAATGTTCCTCCGAAAAAGAGACACTTTGAATAGTCATAATTATGATAGAGATAGGGGGTTGTATAGAGGGAACGTTAAGACTAGAGGTGTGTCCTTTTTCGGGGGTTCCACTGTGAAGGGACAGTGATAACTGTGGACATGGGACTAATATTTGCTGCTCTCGTGTTACAGGAGGGGTTCGAAGGTCAAGGAGCAGAAGAAGGAATTGTAGGCGGTAAGTACTTAGGAAATTTGTGATGAGAGGCTCTGAGAAAACAACCATTATCATGTTAGTTCAATTAGCAGTATATATTTGCCCATGCCCTGGAGCAGTAATTTTATAATTGAGTCTTAGCCTCCAGTTTTAGCAGACTCTATCTATCTATATATATCTCTGACTATTGTCTAAAGCCTGCACATAATTTTTTTATTTTAAGCTCAAAGTCCTTAGCATTGAACACTTATAGCACCATGTATCAGGCAGGTATATATTATATACCGCTGATCAAATTTGCCTTACTCCCTCTTTCCCTCACTTACTCCCTCCTCCCTCTCCCCAGATGAAGTACCGTATGGTGATGATGCATATCCACAGGAAGCCGGTCAGCCCGAGTATGAGTATGACGACGAACAGGAAGAATACTGAAGATTACAGAGTTTTAGTAGAGAATACTGCAATCCTCATGTTAGTATACTGAGACACTCCACAACATCCCCAATGCCATCAAGTGGTTGTTATTTATAACTTTCATTCAGTGTGTGAGATGAGGCTTTTGCAATGACGTAATAGGTACGCATGCGCATTGTTTTGGGTGGGGTTGGGAGACCAAATCATCAATGGCTGATAAAGGCAAGACCGAGAGGTTTCTCTGTCATTATCATGAGCTGAGCCTCTCTGACGTCCAGCTCACTGGAACTACATTAATCAGCGGAAGGAAAGTTGTTAAAATAGTTGCAAGGAACCGTTCGAATTAAGTCACTTCGATCACTCCCATAGAATGGAGGATGAATATGCTAATAAGCTTCTAAAGTCATTGCCTTGGCCACGCCCGCTAATTATACGCCTATATACAAGGCAACAGAAATCATGGCTGAACAGTTTCCTGAACTGAAGCAGTTTGAGCTAACCGATGTGCGAAAGACTGGCATCAAGATTGGCAGCGGAGCCTACAGCACTGCATGGGAAGTGGCCGTGCCTGGAGCCATCTGTGCCGCGAAAGAGTTACACAAATTCTTCATCGATGACATTCCCGCGGGTATTTTCCACTATGACAGGCACAGGGTAGTAAAATTGCAGATCGTGAATGGATGTCAGCTGATGAGCACCCTCCGCCACCCGAACATCGTCCAGTTTCTGGGCGTCGCTTTCTTTCCCGGCTCGCGACTGCCAGCCCTCGTCATGGAGCGACTGCTGACGAGTCTTCACGACTTGCTGGCTCCGGACCGGCCCCCTCCGTCCGGCGCCGTCACACCGCTATCTTTCTTCTCCATGGCTCTCAAGTGCTCCGTGCTGCACAACGTAGCGTGTGGCCTAGCCTACCTCCACGAGCACTCGCCGCCCATCATCCACAGCGACATGTCGGCTCTAAGGATTTTCCTGGACTCGGAGGTGGTGGCCAAGATAGACCTGGGCGTGGCTCGTATGAGTGGTACGGTCATGACTCCGGCCCCAATATACATGCCACCAGAGGTCTTTATTGAAAAGCCCAAATACAGCACCAGAACTGATGTCTTCTCGCTTGGAGTTATCACCATTTACACGATTGGTGAAGTCTTCCCCTGTGATCTTCTAGACCCAAACTACTTTGACAAAAAGAGTGGAGGGCTGTTAGCTCGTACTGAACTACAACGACGCGCTGAATACATGCGATATGTAAACGAGCAACTCCGTGCCTGTGGCCAGCTCCGTGGGGACCACCCTCTCATTCGGCTGATCCAGCAATGCCTGCACAACGGTCCTCACAAACGTCCGAATATTCGTGAGGTGCTGCGTCTGTTGGAGGAGGCCAGAGCTGTTGTTAGAGATGAAGGGAGTGAGAGGAACAAACGTGAACTGGTACAGTCACTTCCCAAGATCCAGGTGAGATGATTCAGCTTCAAGCCAGTCTTTTCGGGGTTCATTTCGCATTCTTGTTGAAAAAGAGATGCCGCAATAGTTACATGCACGAAGAGTGATATGCTTTACTCTCTCCCCTCCTATTCCAGGTCATGACTGACGAGAGAGCTCAACAACTAATTGATGAGGCAATGGAGTTAGGTAGTCTGCAGCAGAGGAATGTGGTGGGAGTCATCACTGGTCTAATGGGAGCAGGGAAGACCACTCTCCTCTCCCGTCTCTTTGGCCTGGCACCTCCCGACTTCTATACCAGCACCGGTGTCGCCGAGCAGTCGATTCGAGGCTTCCTTCACCACATCTTGCGCCTATCAGCTGGTGTTTGGCAACGTCTTTCGTACAAGGACATTCGTGAGTTTCTTGCCCCTTTAATCCAAGCTGGAATGAGAAAATCTGATGTCGATAAGCTCGCCTCCTGTCTAATGCGTGATCTGAATGTACAAAGTGCCAAGCCACTAGACCCCTTACTGAGTTCCACTCCAAAAGTTTCATCGCAAGAAGAGGCCACTCCTTTTGTTCCTACATCCCCTCAACTGCATGAAGAAAGTCCATCGTGTCAGGAAATATTCCCACTGGTCACGACAGCCACACCAAAAAGTCTTACGAAGGATCTGATACTGGAGCTGGTCCACATGATAGACACAGGAGGTCAGCCCGAACTCATGGAAGTCATGCCGTCTCTCATACACAACGCCAACCTTGCATTAGTTCTACTTGATTTGCGCTACGGTCTAGACGAACGCCCTCCGGTAGATTGCCATGAGCAAGGATTGTGCTACAAACGCCAGTTTCAGTCTCATTACACTAGCAGGGACGTAATCCTGAAGCTTGCATCCACGTTGCACGCTAAGAAATCCCAAAACAAGGCTTTCCGTCTTATCATTGTAGCCACACATCGCGATTGTGTGGAAGGCAACGTTGCCGCACGGGTAAAAGCGCTGAATCACCAACTGGCAAGTCTCCTACTTCCGTTCGAAGACCAGCTCATTCTCTTCCAACCCCCTGACAAAATTGCATTCGTTCTCGACTTGAAGAAACCAGACCGTGATGACAAAGAAGCCTTAGAATTGATCCGTACAAAGGTTGGCGAACCAGGTCTGGGAACCGCTTTAGAGACACCAACCTCGTTTTTTGTCTTTGAGCAAGACCTCCTCCAGTTTGCCGAAAAGGACGCAAAACGTTACATTTTGAGCCTCGATGAATGCAAACTGGTAGGGGCACATCTTAGAATGAGCGGCGAGATGGTGGAGGCTGCTTTGGTTCTCTTACATTGCCAGAACACCTTCCTCCACTTCCGACATATCCTCCCAAATCATGTCTTCATCAAACCACAGGTCCCTCTTGATGTTGTCAATGGAATTGTTGGTTTCAGTTACAAAGTGAATGCCGGTGAGTTCAAGGGCTTCCCTGCAAAATTCGTTGGTCAACTCCGACAGGGCATAATCACAGAAGAAATGCTAAGTTTTGATGAAATATCGCCTCACTTCCAAGAAGGTGTTTATGAAGTAAAAGATGCCATCAAGCTTTTTTGCCACACTTTCACTATAGCACCACTGGAACCAGAGAAAAAGGAAGCCACAATTGCTACTAAGAGCAAAGAATACCTAATGATGTGTTTAAAGGCTCCCATTCCTGAACTGAAGCTGGTTGACTACCTCCCTCAGTGTTCCGACATGGTCCCGCTAGTCGTAAAGTTCAGCAGTGGCTGTGTTCCCCTCGGCTGCTTTGGCAGCACCATCTCCTGCCTTCTCTCCAAGTACGGCTGGAAGGTTTATAGAGAAGTAGAATATGATCCTTCCAAATGCCTTGCCCACAATATTGCCTCTCTCCATGACCCAAACCTGCTTCTAGATGTAGTTCTTGTTGACCACACTCAATATATCGAGATCCACATTGACTCTGACATAAGCATTCTACCCCCTGATACATGCAGTCAGCTTTACACAACGGTCTTTGGTGCAGTTGAAAAGGTCTTTAACATCATGCAGCTCGACATTAAAATTTCACCGGCCGTGATTTGTACCTGCCAAAGTACGCGAAAACATTTTGCAGAGTTTAAAAAACTTCGGGGGGAATATTTCTTGCGATGTTCAAGAACCACCAAACCGGATGAAAAACAGTTGCTGTGGATGGGCATTGGTGCTAATTCTTTACCAACTCTTCCCCAATTAATGCGACTTAAAATTCCGGAACAGGTTGGAGTTAATTACCAAAAGTTTGGGACATTGTTGCTCAAGGATGATACAGGAGCTCAGATACCTAGCATTAGGGAATCCAGTCACTGTCAGCCTGATAACATTGTCACTGAAATCCTTCGAATCTGGCTACAAAAGAACCCGACACCAGTGACTTGGGAAAACCTCATTACAACCTTGAGAGATTCGGAACTAAACACATTGGCCAACTATGTGCAAGAAACCTACAAAGAACAAATCGTTTAATTGATGCTTCAAACCTTTGGTAAATCACTCATGTAAGCCTTACATGAGTGATCTACCAAACCATTCTAGCACTTACACTAGCACTGCTGAAACAATCACATTCAACGCACTCTGTTTTACTAGTGTCATTTAAGAATTTATGATCTAAGACAAGTGCAGTGATGTGTGTGCTTGCGTTATCCTACATATGGGACACTCTACGATCTTGTCGGTATATACACAACTGACGTGTCCCGTGGCCACACAGGAACACAGAGTTCTTTCTTCTGTCCATGAAAAAACATGTTTATAGCATACTAGCTCAGAGGAAAAGAAAGAACCTCCCCCACCAAGCACACAAAACACAGACAATAACATACCCAAGCGTACAAAACACAGACAATAACATATAACAGAAAGAAAGAGGCAGGACCCTGGGTGCCCAGCCTTGAGAACCGGGGCGGTAGGTTAAAGAGTCTTTTATGGGCCCAACTCTCCCTACACACCCAGTGTCCCAACCTCCCTTACACATAGTTATAAAATAAATAGATAGAAATCATGTACAAAAAAACGACAGCTACAGGATAAAAACAACAGCCGGTAGAAAAAATAGAAGCCTCAAAGGACCAATAAACTCATAGAAAAATATAAAAACTCTGAAACTCACGCAGCACGACGACACGACGGAGACATAAAAAACGTGCGATTATTCTAAATAATGCACAGCATATACACGTGTAAGAAAAACAGAAAAAATAGAACTCCTAAAATAAGATTAATAGTTCTGTCGATTACTTTAAATAACGCACATCATATACACGTGTAAGAAAAATATAAATAATATAAATAATAGTAGAAATGGTAGAAATAGAAATGTTAAAAATAGATTATTCAAAATAAATATGTGACTATAAATATACATTCTATCTATGCGACACATGGCGACTGAGGAATCTATCCATTGCTGGCAGACATATACCATCCTCCACATGTTTGCGTATGCCGTAGCTATATTTAATTTAGCCATACACACCTGACATTGGGTCTGGGGAGGGCAGAGAGGTAAAATGGGGAAGCATTAGAAAAACTGCCACAGCAACAGCCCCCATTGTCCTCAGGTGGGCCGACGCGCCACACACACCGACCGCGCGGCTGCGCCAGTTGTGCGCATGCGCGCATACTTGAACATGCAGAGAGGGTGAGGGGCGGGATGGGGCTGGACTTCCGCATTGACCGCCCCACGTACGCTTGTGTGTGTGTGTGTGTGTCGCTTGTCCCTGCCAGTGTTCTGGTCTTGCAGTAAACTGCAGGTACGTAGCTACGTCACTAGCGAACTCTCTCATTAACTATAGATAGCTAAAGTCGAAGTTCTACTGTGCTCCTTGCAGAGGTAGCACCTAACGAATGGCTGACATCAAAGGCCTCCAGCAGCGCTACGGCCTGACGGACGCTGAACTCGGTAAAAAATGCGAAGACGAGCATCTGACGGCCATCAGCAGATTCATCTCGTGGGATAGTGTCATGTAGCTTTGTGCATCTTTGCTGTGTAATGACCCCTTGTTTCTTCCTTTTTGGTGCTTCAAGCCATCCCTATATCCCCCTTCATTTTGAAGAAATGATTTTTTATTACATCTGTAAGACAGTGGCTAGTCATGAAGCTTAAGTACTTCTCTCAAACCTTAATGTTAAAGATTCCACCAACATCTCCGCAACATTGATACAGGTCGATACTTGTATCATTCAACTCGTCTATTCTGGCTACCAGTTCCCCAACATGGGGTGACGACGATATGATGACATTGTAGTAGAGAATGACTCCATTGGGAGGAACTGGAGGAGACCAGCTCAACACTCCATCCTCTCCCACCACAAACTCCGTCACTGTCCCTCCAACTGCAGTGGTGGTTATTAGCTCATACACAATGTGTTGATTTTCAAGGATTTGCATACTTGGATAACTGTCATTATACCACGTATTCGCGACCGTGCCAGTTTGTCGCTCTCGAACGCAGTTGTTTCAAGAAAATCGCCTTATTAGTTTTCAGGCTCGCGTAGTTCTGAAGCCGCTGGTATCGCTAATGGACCGCCTCGTAGCCTGTAGTGCCAGAATAAGCGTCGAGACACACAGACAGACAGACAGACAAACCGTTACCCACGCTGCGCATGCGCGCCGATGGTTAATGACTGAAGTGCAAACCCTCGACGTGAGCGGTATCGCTAATGTTGGGCTGGGCTGGGCTATTGGCGTTTACCCGCGGAGAATCTGACACGGGTTAGCTACGGTAGTAGATAGCATGCGGGAGTCGATACACGCCCTTCGCTGTGGCTTCTTGTGCCTCGAAGGTACACAGAGCAAGCGGATCAGGTCGAGGTGGAGCCCCACCCCCCATCCTCCATCCTGGGAGCTACAAACACGACACAAACAGCACACTTACACATGAAAAGGTAGGACACAGCCTTCAGACCTGGAGGTAGCTATATAGGGGTTTGCTGAAAACTGGATCACAGCCGATGGAAATACTTCTCTGCCTGCATCGTCAAAGATCAATCACCTACAGTGCATACTGCACCTAGGCGTCTAAATAATGTCTGCAATGGTGAATGGACCCCAGGTGGATAGTTCCCGACAAAAGGATTGTGATTTTTAGCACAATATTGTCAAAGGAACCTAAAATGGACGGAATTAAGAAGAGGAGAGTTCATTAACCCTCGGCGCGTATGCGCAGCGAGGGTTACAGTAGTTGGGTTTGTCTGTGTGTGTGTGTGCTGTCTGTTACTCTCAATCTCACTTCTCGGGTGTTTGTTCGTCTCACAAAGGATACGACCTACTCAACGGGCAACGAAGGTCAGAAAAGATGTGGGGTTTTCTCTGAAACTGCTCCGTTGCAAAGCTAGAGCGCGAAAAAGCCAATATGCAAATACACAACGGACGGGATGACTTACCACAGTCGGATCGATCCGCGTGCTCTGCGTACTTCGGAGGCACCAGAAGATGCAACGCAGGGCGTGTATCGCCTCTCGCATACTATCTAGTAGTGTAGTTAGCCCGCGTCAGACTCTGCGCGAGCTGGCAAGAGACCGCGAGTAACAGCTAAAACTAAACCCAGCCCATCAATTAGTGGTACTGTGCATGGCTGTCCGCGCGAGTTCTAGCACTACAGGCTACAAGGCGGCCAATGAGTGGTACCAACGGGTTGTGAACGACGAGAAGATGGATATTAATGTGGCGATTTTCCTGAAACGACTGCGTTCCAGAGATATGGCGTGAAAACAAGCGAAAAAGCCAACGTGCGGTTGATCGCGCACGCGCCATGCGCACGCGTCATGTCAATTTTTCGCCGGAGAATGCGCTACGCCACATTGGTTGTATGATCCACAGGTTTCTCTTTGGATAAACATGCTGAGCAAGGTATATTCGCAATGTAGCATAATAGTTCAGGTGGCGAGCAGTTTGTGGATGCAGCCCTGCCTTCCCATCTCTGGCAAGATTGGGAGCACAGAAGAGCGGATAGATTGAATAAAGCAAATATGTAAGCCTGTGAAACACCTGAGCAATTGCTCTAACCAACTAGCTACCCTGTGTTACGGGGAGACTCGTGTTACTGTCTCCGTCCGCCAGCATACAGCTAGCGAGACTACAACTCGCGCGTTTAGCGCCGAGGGTTTGCACTTTAGTGCTTTTCATTATACCATAAAGAGGCCATACGATTTCCCCATACTTTAGATGTATGTCAACTCATTTGCATAAACCACAATGGGTATATGGTAGTTATACGATAGTAGCAGCAATTAGGGGGCTTTTACACTCTTTGTGTGCTGCTGTTTCTTCACCAGAAGGGAGTGTTTTCAGGCTGGAATGGCCGGCAACTGCTCTAGTACATACGCGGTCTGAAAACTAGCTAAAAATTGCTTCCCGACGCGTAGGCTCCCGTAGACTGGAACAGTATGTGACTTTCAGCTTTCTTGCTACTGCAACAGGCTGCATTCGAGAGCGCTGGGTATAGCGGGAGAGAAAGCGAGCCAGAGCGGCAGCTACAAAACTCGTGTGGAGTCCAGCAGCGAAAAAGTGACGTAGCTACTTGTTAGTAGTTGTGATGACCCATTCAATTACGGTGATTGAGGAATGTGGACTAGCGCCAGTATTGCTACTGGACAGTGGGGATGAAAGATGTTCACCAGCTTTCATCAGTAGCAGTGCACAGGTGGATAGTTCCCGACAAAAGGATTGTGATTTTTAGCACAATATTGTCCTACAAAGGAACCTAAAATGGACGGAGTTAAGAAGAGGAGAGTTCATTAGTAGTTGTGATGACCCATTCAATTACGGTGATTGAGGAATGTGGACTAGCGCCAGTATTGCTACTGGCCAGTGGGGATGAAAGATGTTCACCAGCTTTCATCAGTAGCAGTGCACAGGTGGATAGTTCCCGACAAAAGGATTGTGATTTTTAGCACAATATTGTCCTACAGAGGAACCTAAAATGGACGGAACTAAGAAGAGGAGAGTTCATTAGTAGTTGTGATGACCCATTCAATTACGGTGATTGAGGAATGTGGACTAGCGCCAGTATTGCTACTGGCCAGTGGGGATGAAAGATGTTCACCAGCTTTCATCATTAGCAGTGCACAGGTGGATAGTTCCCGACAAAAGGATTGTGATTTTTAGCACAATATTGTCCTACAGAGGAACCTAAAATGGACGGAACTAAGAAGAGGAGAGTTCATTAGTAGTTGTGATGACCCATTCAATTACGGTGATTGAGGAATGTGGACTAGCGCCAGTATTGCTACTGGACAGTGGGGATGAAAGATGTTCACCAGCTTTCATCATTAGCAGTGCACAGGTGGATAGTTCGCGACAAAAGGATTGTGATTTTTAGCACAATATTGTCCTACAGAGGAACCTAAAATGGACGGAACTAAGAAGAGGAGAGTTCATTAGTAGTTATGATGATTCTTTCAATTATGGTGATTGAGGAATGTGGACTAGCGCCAGTATTGCTACTGGACAGTGGGGATGAAAGACGTTCACCAGTTTTCATCATTAGCAGTGACATCACACACAATCATTACGATGATTGGGGAATTTGCTTTAAGCGGCGATTCTTCAAAAACCCAACTACTTCATTTGTCACGGCTTTCACACTACTAGTATGAGCACAGACACACTAACAGCACGCTGTGTGTGCAGTGCGGCAAAAGAGAAACTGTTTTCATCTGTAAAATCATACAAGTGTACCCGTTCCCTGGAGAAGCTGTGTATAAAAGGGGCGTTTGGTGTCCCAGTGAGAGCATCGAGCAAATCTACACCACTCTTTCTACTGGGAAAAGCCAAGGAGATTGGAGATCATTCAGGTGTGTCGCAATGAAGACAGCTCTCATTCTTCTTTCTGTGCACGGTGGCGTGGAGCTATCCCAACTACATTTCCCCTTTCAATGCTGGGCAGGAGAATCAGGTCTGGCACTTGTGATGATGTCATACTTACAGGTGCTCCTTCTCATTCTGCTTGCAGAGCTTACCCGCAGCATGATGATGCAGCTGCTTCGCAGGTCACCCGCACTGATATAGAGATTATTGCACAGGCATACTGCTCCGCCATCGGAACAACCTCAGGGATGGACGTGGACGCGACGTGCACGCGTAGCACCTCCTGCAGACAAGCAGACAGTGCACCGATATTTGTGCCAGCGAGAAGTTGCAGCACGCTCAAGACGCGCACGAGCGAGAGGAGGGCGCGTCGTCTGGTATGTAAGCGCCGGTTGTGACACGTGTACGCCACCGTCCGTCTCGCCGGTGGAACTGTCGCACGCGCCGTCCTGCGGTCCTGAAAAAGTGTGTACAGGTACGCTGAATGTCAACGCAGGCGAGAGGGTGGCTGTTGTGGGAGGAGCGGTCCGCACTTCTGCTCGCTGGACACCGTGTTCACACGTAAATGGTGCCCCCCGACATTGGACATAAGTGGACAATGAGACTGGAATTTGTGGATAGGATAGTTGACTGTCAGCACCCAAGGGCAGTAGCACGTTTCGATGGTAGTTGCGTGAACATATCAGATAGATCATTTAGATAGTTCAGTCATAGATACTATCCTTAGTATCTATGTGTTCAGTGTGTACTAGCAAATCAGATCAAAAATAACCCTCGGCGCGCAGCGACGACGCACGCGTTGTTAGTTTTTCTTGTTGTCTGCACTTTCCTGACTGTTACTAGTCATTTTCCTCAGGTTCTTTGCGTTGTAGATGTTGCACCACTGTTGTCATATTATCCTCAGTAAAACAATAAGAGGAAAATTTTTAATAATAGAAATCAGCCCACCAACGCATGCGCATCATCAACAATTATAGGCCTATAGCTCTCCAAGGCCATCAATGAGAGCCCGTATTCTCATCATAAAAGCACAACTTTGCTAAGGTCATCCATCACAGGTGATCTCTCTCTCTCTGTGCCTGACTTCCTCGCTCACTTGCTGTCTCAACGTTGAATCTTTGGCAGCTAGTTTCGACAATGCAGATTCCTCGAATCTACTCTTAGTCGGACTTCACCACATCTTTTCTTACATCCCCCGACAGTGGTCTCTCTCCTCCTCACCCATGAAAAAGGACATACTGCAGCCTTGACCTCTCTCTACTTCTGTCCGACTCTGCCTCTCACCCCTCCCAATAATTATACATAAGAATTGCCTCCAGCCAAGAGTGAACTGCGCCAAGTTATGGACCTGGCTCTAAGCGTGGTGTCTTGGAACTACTTGCATCCAACGCTGTGTTTGAACCTTTCTCTCCCTCTGTCTCCCACTAAAACAATATGTGCCCTGT